TGGACATCTCTTTGATTTATCTTTTTGGCCTTCGTCCTGTCTGTGTGTGTGGCCCACATCTGTGGTGATGGGGTCGTCCATGCTCTTTTACTGGGTGTGAGTCTCACAGAAAGTGCTTGTTTGTAGGTTTATTTACTTGCTGAGATGACACGGAACCCAGGGCCTTCCCCCTTTGTGGGGTAAGACCTCCTCCACTAGGCTCCTCTCAAGTCAGTGAATCACGTGTCCCTGTGTGGGAGCAGAGGAGGAGCCTGTGCCTTCTGACTCTGCCCGCACTGCTGGGAACACGGGCAGCTAAGCGAGCAACAGAGGAGCAGTATTAACCGTGGGTTTCTCAGTTTGCCCGTGGACTCTGTGCTCTGCGGTCATGTGTGTGCCCATAGGCTCTTAGATTCTATGCTGTCCCAGAGAGTGCTGCCTTGCAGCGGCAGAAACGGGGGGGGGGGTGGGGGGGTGGGGGCTGAGCTCAGGCCTGGCACTGAGGACAGCAGAGAAGAGACCTGCTGGTTCTCGATCTTTCCAGCTGTGGCCTCCTCGGGTACTGTGTGAGAATTCAGCTCTGTGGAAACCTTCCAGCTTTGCGACTACCGTCCCCTGGCCATGAGCCTTCTTTCTAGGCCAGGCTTGCCCCCTCAGCCCCTGAGGTTCTGGCTAAAGTCTCCTCTCAGATCCGGAAGCGACTGGATGAGTTCCCTGCCTGTCTGACTCCCATTTAGTCAGTCCCGCCAGACCTTGTCTTTTCCCATAGATGTCCACCGTTGCTGTTTGGACTTTTAAATGCTGCTTTTAAGCCTGTCTGCTGCAGGCCCACTCCAGTACGGAGTGGGAAACGGGGCTATCCTATAGGGTGGGTGGTGACAGCCTGTGCAGCACCTTCTGTCCCCGGAGCAGCCTGCTGGGCTGTTCTTTGAATTGCCAGGGCCCTTGAACCCCGACGTCCTCCCTCCCTCCGACAATTAGACACCAGTCAAGTGTGAAGAGGAAATCTGCTTTATTTGTCATTCTTTCTGGGGCGGCCATGGGGGGTGAAGGATGAATTCTAAAGGAATCGCCAAGATGGCTCAGCGCTCGGAGAAAGCAGACTCAGGGTCGCAGGCGGGGTCCATGCGGCAGCCATCTGCAAGAAAAATGGGTCAGTGGCCTGAGCTGCAAACACGAAGGCTCCCTGCCAGGCAGTCCTGCCAGCCCACTCCTGCTCACCCGGGCTGCAGCAGACGCCCGCGGCGGCGCAGCGGCCCCCGCTCCCGCACGGCTTCTGGCCAGACTGGCAGGGCGAGGGCAGGTAGTTCTCCTCCTGGCAGCGCAGAGCCTCGGCGGTGCCCACGAAGCAGCCCAGCTCGTCGGCGCAGCAGATGTTGGGTCCGAAGCAGCGGCCTTTGCCGCCAGGACCGCAGGGGAGGCACTGCGGGAAAGGAAGCGAGTGGGCGCAGTGCACGGTCCTCGGGCTACGGTCCCGTATCGGAACGGTGGCCGGGCGAGGGGCAGTGGGAGCTCAGGCGTTGTCTCTGCCTTCGCGGCGTCAAGCGGGAGCCTAACCCTGCCTAACGCCTTGGGTTCCCAAGAGTTGGGGTAGGACTGGTAGAGTGCGGGATGCTCTGCGGGCGGGAGTCTTCTCTGGTCCTTAGCGCTGCTGGGACCGGACCGGATGGGGAGACTCACCTTGCGCGTGTCCAAGTCCAGCGCAGCCCTCTTGCCGCCCAGGGGACAGTTCTGGATGTAGCAGGCGGAGGTCAGAGCCAGGAGGCCAAGCAGGCAGCAGGCGAGACTGGGGCAGGCCATGGCGCTGGTGCTGAGTCTGAGACCCACCAGAAGTGATGGTTTCTCCGGCCCAGCCTGGCCTTTTTATATCTGGGCACTGCCTTGGCGGAGCACTGTCTTAAGAGCGCGACTGCATGACTGGTCACAGCGGGTCACTACGGGTCAAATCACTCCACACCACTCAGAGGCAGGCCCTTCATTTTCAGGGTCTAGGCTAGGGTCAAGGTCACCGCCTCAGCTAATGGACTGGAGCTTGAAAGCAAGGGGTGTATGAGTTAGAAGAGGAGAGAAAGAATTGGGTGGGGTGGTGGAGGGGCAGCCTAGCCTGAAGCTATTTTCACAGACGTCTCCAGTACAGCAGATGGGGCAGGAGAGGGAAAGTGGCTGTGGGAACCCTTACATGTCCCCGAAACTGGGGTGGGGAGAATGATCACATCTTCTTTCAACTTCTGAATGCAGTTCAGCCCTCTTCCGACTAGACGGTAAGACAAAATATCAATAGAGGTCAAAGCTAAGCAAACCAAAATAAGAGAAAGAGAGAAAAACCACAGCGAAACAAAAGAAAAATCATGTTTGTGTTTAAAATTCTGTATTAGAATTATTTATGTAGACCAGGCTGGTCTTGAATTCACAGTGGTCCACCTGCCTCTGTCTCCTCCCAAATTCTGGGATTAAAAATTATCCAGTACCATGCTAGGTGCCTAGACTCCTGCTTGCAAAAACACTTGCCATCAGCTGCCTGAGTGTGCCCAACAGGTGACCTCAGCTGCAGATTATCACCGGGTCCAAGGACATACCCTTCCCAGGTGGCCACATGGGATGGTTAGTTCAATTGGGCACAAATGCTGGGCACTTCTGGCTACATTTCAGCTGTGAGCTGAAGGTTTGCTGAGGACGGATGCCTCGTGCAGTTCATTCGCAGACTGCTTGCCTAGGGTGAGAGACCTCGGGCCCAGTCCCCAGCATGACAGCAATCATGCGTTTTGGGAACAATTTTTGCATTATATTTTAAAAATTAAAATAATTTTAATAATTCATTTTATGTGCATTGGTGTGAAGGTGTCAGATACCTTGGAACTGGAGTTACAGACAGTTGTGAGCTGCCATATGGGCGCTGGGAATTGAACCGGGTCCTCTGGAAAAGTAGTCTGTGCCATTAACCACTGGACCAGGTCTCCAGCCCCTTTTTTATTCCTATTTGTGTGTATGTTTGTGTTTTCAGATTTCCTTGGAGGCCAGAAGAGGATGTTGGATCCTCAGGAGCTGTAGTTAGAGGGGGTTGTCAGTCGATCTCTGTGGGGCTTGGGAACAAAGTTCAGTCCTCTGCAAGAGCAGTATTCACTCTTAACCACGGAACCATCTCTCTAGCCCCTGTTTTTTGCATGTTTAATACAGTTTAAAAGGAAAAACATTATGGCAGGAAGGCATGGAAGATTCGACCCCTGTATTTCATGGCTGAGAAATAAAATACAGATCTCCAGGGGGGACCAAAGACTCACTGCCTGCTTCGAGGGCTTGCCTCAATGACCGGAAGGCCACCTATTGGGCCCTTAGCTTAAATATCTTACCATCTTGGGGCTGGGGAGTTGGCTCAGTGTTAAGAGTTGCTTTTTCAGAGGACCCAGGTTTGATTCCCAGCACCCACATGTTGGCTCACAACCATCTATAATTTCACTGTAGTCTATATCTGCTGTGAAGCCACTGCCTTCTTCTGATCTCCAAGGGCACCAGGCTCACACATAGTGCAATACATACATGCAGGCAGAACATGCATAAGCATGAAATAAAATAAATAGTTCTAAAAGGAAGATTAGGCCGGGCGGTGGTGGCATACATCTTTAATCCCAGCACTTGGGAGGCAGAGGCAGGCAGATCTCTGTGAACCCGAGGCCAGCCTGGTTTACAAGAACTAGTTCTAGGACAGGCACCAAAACTCACAGAGAGGGGGCTGGAGAGATGGCTCAGTGGTTAAGAGCATTGCCTGCTCTTCCAAAGGTCCTGAGTTCAATTCCCAGCAACCACATGGTGGCTCACAACCATCTGTAAAGAGGTCTGGTGCCCTCTTCTGGCCTTCAGGCATACAGACAGAATATTGTATACATAATAAATAAATAAATAAATATTTAAAAAAAAAACTCACAGAGAAACCCTGTTTCGAAAAACCAAAAAGAAGAGGAAGAAGAAGAAGAAGAAGAAGAAGAAGAAGAAGAAGAAGAAGAAGATTAGGCCAGGCGTTGGTGGAGCACGCCTTTAATCCCAGCACTCAAGAGGCAGAGGCAGGTTTAAAGAAAGGAGACGCATTGCTCAGATTCTTGTTTTTATTTGATTGTTTTGAAATAAGATCTCATTATATTGTCTTGGTTGGCCTGGAACTTGTTGAATAGACCAGGCTGGCCTTGAACTCACAGTGACCCATTTTCTTCTGCCTCCCAAGTGCTGGGGTTAAAGGTATGCGCCACCATGCTAGGTACCTAGACCCTTGTTTAAGAAAACATTTGTCGGGCTGGAGAGATGGCTCAGTGGTTGAGTACTGCCTGCTCTTCCAAAGGTCCTGAGTTCAATTCCCGGCAACCACATGGTGGCTCACAACCATCTGTAATGAGATCTGGTGCCCTCTTCTGGCCTGCAGACATACACACAGACAGAATATTGTATACGTAACAAATAAATAAATAAATTAAAAAAAAAAGAAAACATTTGTCATCAGCTGGTGGAGTGTGGACAGCAATGGTCTCAGCTGCAGAGAGCCACCTAGCTGGTCACAGAGAATGGTTGGCCCATTTTGTTACAAACTAATTGTCCCCCAGATTTGGGCTGTAGGTCAGCAGATCTGCACAGTGGTGCTGCTCGTCTGTCTCTTCTCTTCCACAGAGGTGGGTCCCAGGCCCGTGTTCTAAACTCCATTTCAGGCTGCTTCCTTAGGACGTGACCTGCAGCCTCCAGGAAGAAATGACAGCCAGTGTCCCAGAGATCAGCTCATGCCCTCTCTGGCCCTAGGGAGAGTGGAACAGCCCCTAGGCTCTTTGTCTTCACGGTTAACCTCCTCGACAAGGGACTGAAGTCAACTGGGCAAAGCAGGCTCCAGAGCTCATCTGATCCTGAGTCACTGGTGTGAGTTGAACTCAGCGAGTCAAATGCTGAGTTGGTGGTCAGGTTGACCTGTATTACAAATCAGCTCATTTCTCATCCAGATTAGCCTGTTGGCATTCTTGGCGTAGAAGGCCAAGAGCTTGACCCCCAGGATGGCCCCAGAGACCTCCCACATACTCTGCGGGCACAGTGATCTCATCGAAGGTAATCTATGCACATAAATTAGCATGTACTAATATGCACGTAATGCTCTCATGAGGCCAGCATGCCTTCATGTGCTCACCAACTTATCTGTGCCTGGGACACCGGTAAACAGCAGACAGAATCCTTGTCCTCAGGCTGGGGCCACAGCTTAGCAGGAGAACACTTGTCTAGTGTAATGCAAGGCTGTGTTCACGAAGCCTTGGGTACAGTGTCAGCACCAGGAGAAAAATCACTATCCTCATGGGGTCATATGACACTGAAGGAGGCAAGATGTGAAGTAAGAAGCATATTACATTGGGTTATTGCTTTCGTTTAAATCTGAGTGTATCCCAAGGATCCATGTGTCATATTGTAGGTCCTTACGAAGGTGTATCGGGAAGACATCGAGATCTTTAAGATAGAGACCAAGGGGGAGGTCATTAGGTCATTGAGGGCATGCCCACGAAGGGGTAGTGACACCTTGGTCCCTCCTAGGTCTCTTTTAGTTTCCCAGCCATGAAATGAAGGGGTTCATTCCTCCATGTGCTCCTACCGTGATCGTGGGTTGGTGCCTCTGAGACTATGAACCAAAATAAATCGTTTCTTCCAGGTATAACGGCACACAGCTGTAATCTCAGCATCAAGACCAGTCTCGGCTAAAAAAGAGTTCAAAGCCATGAAGGAGTTTATGGGATACTATCTCAAAATCCACCAAATTAAACCTTTTGCTTTTACAAGTTAAAAATTATCGGGGTTTTTTCTCTAGTAATTAAAAGCCACCGAGGAAACAAAAGCGCAAGCACAACACACTCCAAAGGCAACCCGAGCTTAGCAGGGCTGGTGGCAGGCCGCGGGCTGGGTGCCTAGACAAGGTCTCTGTCTGGATCCCGAGTGAATGTGTACTGTTTGACACGGGCCTTACACGCAGGAGAATTAAGCAGCCCTCCCCCCGCCGCTAGGGTGTGTGTGTGAGGTGAATAGGGATTAAGCTTCCTCTGGTCTGAGTGCAGATACCGACAGTGTGTTCTAGAGTTTACAAAGGATTGGCCAGTGTGTGCTTTAGCCAATAGAAATTGCAGCCTCCTCCTGGATGTTTACAACCTGTGGTTGTGCCAGAGCCTAGGCAGCCCCTCCCCCTGTGCTGTGCACAAGGACGCACTGAGGTCCTGGGCAGCTGCACACAGCCCCTGGCCCCAGCCTTCCTGCGTGTGTGTCTGTTCTTCATTCTCTCAGCACCCTACTTGCGTTTCCAGACCCAGGTTGTGCAGGTGGAGGACTGGTAAATGCTCCGGAAAGAAAGGGAGCACCTCTGTTGTTCTCCTTCAGGTGACCTGTGAGTGGAGAGGAGAGGAAAGAAACCGCGGTGTGAGGAAGACCCGTGTATGAGGAACACCCGGTGCTCTGCTGCTGTGGACAAGTAGACACAAATGTAGCCTCTTAACATAAAATCCATTTATTTTATTTATTTTTTTAAATATTTATTTATTTATTTATTTATTTATTTATTATGTATACAATATTCTGTGTGTATGCCTGCAGGCCAGAAGAGGGCACCAGACCCCATTACAGATGGTTGTGAGCCACCATGTGGTTGCTGGGAATTGAACTCAGGACCTTTGGAAGAGCAGGCTGAAAGACCCCTGCAGTATAGACAAACAGCTAAGCAGTAGCAATGCCAGGCTTAAACTTTGGAGCAACACAAGTAACATTAGAGCAGGGAAGTTCGACTTGAGAACAAGGGCGGAGAAGCCAGGCAAGATATCTGCGGTCAGCCGGTCAGCCATCTGGCCCCAAGCGATAAGGAACCCGCAGCTGGCCTGCTCTAATGAGAACATCCCGTTTGCTTAGGGAAACAGGATGCCTATAGTCAGCACATGTGCCCAACTTAGAATATCAGTAATTCACAGAAGAGACAACTCCCCCTATGAAAGATCCCAGCTTAGCTGCTGTAACGTCATTTCACAAAGCTTTTGACGAACGACTGTAAGTGCAGAGTAAGGTCAGGGTCCCTGGCTGCAAAACAGGATATTTATATCCATAGATTCGGACAGGACATCAATTAACAGGATATCTGTTCCCATACATCTGTGCTGGGAAAGGAAAAACCACCTGTGCCCCTTGCCCCATTCCAACTGATCACTAACAATGCATTTGCTTCTGTAATCTGCTTCTGCTGCCCTCTTTCCTATAAAAAGACCTTCCCCCAGTCTGCAGGCGCGCTTGTCTTCCGAGAGACTAAGTCGCCCCAGGTACCTGTGTACTGAATAAAGCCTCTTGCTATTTGCATCCGAAGAGTGACTCGCTGTTCCTTGGGAGGGTCTCCTCAGCCTGAAAGACTGCCCACCACTGGGGTCTTTCATTTGGAGGTTCCACCGAGATTTGGAGACCCCTGCCCAGGGACCACCGACTCACCACCGGGAGGTAAGCTGGCCAGCACAATTGTTTTCTGTCTGTCTTCTGTCTTTTATGTTTGCGCCTGCGTTTGTACTGGTTAGCTAATCAGATTTGTATTTGGCGGACCCGGGGAGGAGCTGACGAGCTCGTACTCCCCACCGCAGCCCTGGGAGACGTCCCAGTGGTGTTTGGGGGCCCGATTCGTGGCCCATTTGCAGTTTGTGAGTCGCATGGAACTGGGACTGTTGGGGGCTGCCCCACTGTCTGAGGGATTCGTGACTCTTTTGGGAGACGAGGAGCCCGGGTCCTCAAAGTCTCCGTCTGAATTCTTGCTTTCGGTTTTATGCCAAAGCCGCGCTGCGAGTTTCTGTGTCTGTCTAAGTTGTATTTTGTTTGTCTGTCTAATTGTTACTGTCACCGCGGTTGAGAGAATGGGCCAATCTGTAACCACCCCTCTAAGTCTGACTTTACAGCACTGGCGAGACGTCCAAGACATTGCAAATTACCAGTCAGTGGACGTTCGGAAGAGATGCTGGGTAACTTTCTGTTCCTCGGAATGGCCCACGTTCAATGTGGGCTGGCCAAGGGATGGTACTTTTGACATCAATGTTATCTTACAGGTAAAGGCTAAAGTGATGGATCCTGGCCCTCACGGGCATCCAGACCAGGTCGCGTATATCGTGATCTGGGAGGCGATGGCTTATGACCCACCGCCCTGGGTCAAGCCTTTCGTCACCCCGAAACCCCCTCTGCACCTACTTTACCCCCTCCACTCCTTCCCACCCCAACGGGACCTCCGCCCCACTCCTCCCTGTACCCAACCCTCACCAAGTCCCCGGTGCCCAAGCCCCCTCCTCCAAAAGTCTTGCCCCCAGATGATGACCTACTGATGGACCTCCTCACGGAAGGCCCTCCCCCATATCAGGAGCCAGCTCCACGGCCTCCGAATGAGGCTGACTCAACTGAAAGAAAAGAAGAACAAGCAGCGCCAGCCTCTGCTGGTCCTTCTCCGATGGCCGCACGCCTGAGGGGACGAAGGGACCAGCTGCATGCAGCGGATACAACCTCCTCACAGGCATTCCCTCTTCGCATGGGAATGAACGGCCAACTGCAGACCTCTACAACTGGAAACATAATAACCCTCCTTTTTCTGAGGACCCCTCTAGGTCGACTGCTCTGATTGAACCTATTTTGATTACCCATCAGCCTACATGGGACGACTGCCAACAGCTGCTGCAGGCCCTGCTGACTTCGGAGGAATGGCAGAGGGTCCTCCTGGAAGCCCGGAAGGAAGTCCGGGGACCTGATGGCCGCTCCACCCAATTGCCTAATGAAATAGATTCTGCCTTTCCCCTTGAATGCCCCTCTTGGGATTTCACCACGGTGGAAGGTAGGAATCACCTAGCCCTCTATCGCCAGTTGCTCATAGCGGGTCTCCACAGGGCGGCTCGACGCCCAACGAATTTGGCTCAGGTAAAGCAGGTTATACAGGGGTCAGAGGAAACTCCCTCTGCGTTCCTTGAGAGGCTCAAAGAGGCTTACCGCAGATATACTCCCTATGACCCTGACGACCCCGGACAGGAGACCAATATCTCCATGTCTTTTATTTGGCAGTCAGCTCCAGATATCAGACGCAAGCTGGAGCGTCTAGAGAACCTCAGGGAAAGCTCACTCAGGGATCTGCTAAAGGAAGCAGAAAAGATTTTCAATAAGAGGGAGACTCAGGAGGAGAGGGAGGACCGCCTAAGAAAAGAAGCTGAGGAGAGGGAAAAGGAAAGGGAAAAAGAGAGGGACCGCAAGAGACATAAGGAAATGAGTAAACTTTTGGCCACCGTAGTGTCAGGGCAAAGACAGGATAGACAGGGGGGAGACAGAAGAGGGCTACCCCTCGACAAGGACCAATGTGCCTACTGGAAAGAAAAGGGGTCTTGACCCAAAGGCTGGGGCCCTGGCGGCGGCCAATAGCCTAACCTTGCGGAAATGCCTGGGACCAGACCGGACCTGACGGATCAACCCCTCCGGGATGCGGATGTCACCTGGTACACTGACGGCAGCAGCTTTCTGCGGGAAGGTGAGCGAAAGGCGGGTGCAGCGGTAACCATGGAGACCGAGGTGATCTGGGCACAGCCTCTGCCTGCGGGAACTTCTGTGCAGCGAGCAGAGCTTGTCGCCTTGACACAAGCTTTGAGGATGGCAGAAGGTAAGAAGCTCAATGTCTATACTGACAGCCGATACGCTTTTGCCACTGCTCATGTTCATGGGGAAATATACAGAAGAAGAGGGCTACTGACTTCAGAAGGAAAGGAAATTAAAAATAAAACAGAGATCTTAGCCTTGTTAAAGCTTTATTTCTGCCTCGGAAACTGAGCATTATACATTGCCCAGGACACCAGAAAGGAGACAGCCCTGAGGCTCGAGGAAACCGGCTGGCTGATGAAGCCGCCAAACAGGTGGCCCTGCAGGCTCCGCTAGCCATACTGCCCATGCACCAAGATAAGAGAGACCCCCTCAAATATGATGAGGAGGATCTAAAGCTCCTGGCAGACATGGGAGCGGAGCAGGACCAGAAAACGGGCGAATGGACATGGAAGGGAAAAACAGTGATGCCGATGGCATACACTTATAAGATGCTTGATTACTTACATAAATTGACCCATCTAAGCCCCCGAAAGATGAAAACTTTGTTAGACCGGCAGGAAACTTTTTGCTATTTACTAGGGCGAGACAGCATCCTCCAAAAAGTTATGGACAAATGTAGAGCATGTGCACAGGTAAATGCAGGAAAAACCAAGGTGGGACAGGGGGTGCGAATCCGTGGACATCGACCAGGAGTACAATGGGAAATTGACTTTACTGAAATAAAACCAGGCATGTATGGATACCGATACTTATTGGTATTTATGGACACCTTTTCGGGATGGGTGGAAGCCTTCCCGACCAAGCATGAGACAGCAAAAATTGTGACCAAAAAGCTGCTGGAAGAAATCTTCCCCAGGTATGGCATGCCCCAAATGTTGGGCACTGATAATGGGCCCGCCTTTGTCTCCCAGGTAAGTCAGTTGGTGGCCAAACTATTGGGGATTGATTGGAAATTACATTGTGCATACAGACCCCAGAGCTCAGGACAGGTAGAAAGAATGAATAGAACTATTAAGGAGACTTTAACCAAATTAACGCTTGCAACTGGCTCTAGAGACTGGGTACTCCTACTACCCTTGGCTCTATATAGGGCCAGAAACACTCCAGGACCCCATGGACTCACTCCTTTCGAAATACTATATGGGGCGCACCCGCCCTCCATTAATTTCTTTGACTCCAACATTTCAAACTTTGCTAATAGCCCTTCTCTGGAAGCTCATTTGCAGGCACTCCAGATCGTGCAACAAGAGGTCTGGAAACCCCTGGCTGCGGCTTATCGGGAGCAATTGGATAAACCAGTGGTGCCCCACAACTACCAGATTGATGACACGGTGTGGGTTCGCAGACACCAGACTAAGAACTTGGAACCCCGCTGAAAGGGACTATTGTCAAGCGGGGATGGGACAGGCCCCCAGGGGACTATAGAGCAAAATGTGGAGAGACAGAAGGCACCTCGGGGTGGGGCAACTTCCGATGTTCCAATGCGACCTGTCTACCCCTTCAGATATCATTCACTGAGGCGGGGAAACAGGCTGCTGGCTGGCAGTCCGGATATCAATGGGGCCTGAGATGGTACCTATTGGGCGTGCAGCACGGGACTAACCCCCTGTGTGTCCTCCTCTGTCTTAAACATGTCCTCTGATTACTGTGTGCTAATTGAATTGTGGCCAAAAGTAACTTACCATGAACCAGAGTATATATATACACTCAGTTTGAAGGAAGACTTAGATTCAGGAGAGAACCAGTGTCTCTCACCCTAGCCCTCCTACTTGGGGGATTGACCGTTGGAGGCATCACGGCGGGGGTGGGGACCGGGGCAACGGCCCTTGCCGCCACCCATCAGTTTGAGCAGCTACAGGCGGCCATGCACACTGATATGAAAGCCTTAGAGGAATCGGTCAGTGCACTAGAGAAGTCCTTGACCTCACTATCTGAGGTAGTCCTACAAAACAGACGGGGACTAGACATATTGTTCCTGCAGGAAGGAGGGCTTTGTGCAGCCCTAAAGGAAGAATGCTGCTTCTATGTAGACCACACCGGATTAGTCAGAGACAACATGGCAAAGCTAAGGGAGAGACTTAAGCAGAGACAGCAGCTCTTTGAATCTGGGCAAGGCTGGTTTGAGGGAATGTTCAACCGATCGCCATAGTTCACTACCCTGATTTCCTCCATCATGGGACCCTTAATCATACTATTACTGATCTTATACCACAGCTAAATGAATAAAGGGTTTTATTCAGTTGATAGAAAAAGGGGGGATGAAAGACCCCTGCAGTATAGACAAACAGCTAAGCAGCAGCAATGCCAGGCTTAAACTTTGGAGCAACACAAGTAACATTAGAGCAGGGAAGTTCGACTTGAGAACAAGGGCGGAGAAGCCAGGCAAGATATCTGCGGTCAGCCGGTCAGCCATCTGGCCCCAAGCGATAAGGAACCCGCAGCTGGCCTGCTCTAATGAGAACATCCCGTTTGCTTAGGGAAACAGGATGCCTATAGTCAGCACATGTGCCCAACTTAGAATATCAGTAATTCACAGAAGAGACAACTCCCCCTATGAAAGATCCCAGCTTAGCTGCTGTAACGTCATTTCACAAAGCTTTTGACGAACGACTGTAAGTGCAGAGTAAGGTCAGGGTCCCTGGCTGCAAAACAGGATATTTATATCCATAGATTCGGACAGGACATCAATTAACAGGATATCTGTTCCCATACATCTGTGCTGGGAAAGGAAAAACCACCTGTGCCCCTTGCCCCATTCCAACTGATCACTAACAATGCATTTGCTTCTGTAATCTGCTTCTGCTGCCCTCTTTCCTATAAAAAGACCTTCCCCCAGTCTGCAGGCGCGCTTGTCTTCCGAGAGACTAAGTCGCCCCAGGTACCTGTGTACTGAATAAAGCCTCTTGCTATTTGCATCCGAAGAGTGACTCGCTGTTCCTTGGGAGGGTCTCCTCAGCCTGAAAGACTGCCCACCACTGGGGTCTTTCACAGGCAATGCTCTTAACCTCTGAGCCATCTCTCCAGCCCCATAAAATCCATTTATTCTGTCAGTTGTCAGGCAAAGTCTGGGCAGGCCTTCTCTACCCATGGTCTTCAGCAGGCGTGAGTTCCTTAGCTCTGCTAAGGAACGATAAATCACGTGACAGCTCACATCTTTAAGATATTGTGCCAGGAGATGGCGGTGCACACCTTTAATCAGAGGCAGGCAGATCTCCGAGTTAGAGGCCAGCCTGCTTTACCCAGGACAGTCAGGGTTACATAGTGAAACCCTCTTGAAAATTTTTTTTTTTTAAATTTATGTGTATGAGTGTTTGGCTCAAATGTCCATAGAGGTCAGAAGAAGTTGTTGGGTGCACGGGAGTTGTGCAAAGATGGGGGACACACCATCAAAGTCTATTAAACCAGAAGCAAAGTTTATTCCAGAAACAAAATTAAAAATTAAAAAATAAATCTCCATGGGGCACAGAAAGCTCATCAGCTAGCTGAGACCACAGCCAGAGAAAGAATGTGTAAGGCTGTGGCAAAGGATGGTTTCCAAACTCCTCCTTTTTTTTTTTTTTTTTTGGTTTTTCGAGACAGGGTTTCTCTGTGGTTTTGGAGCCTGTCTTGGAACTATCTCTTGTAGACCAGGCTGGTCTCGAACTCACAGAGATCCGCCTGCCTCTGCCTCCCGAGTGCTGGGATTAAAGGCGTGGGCCACCACCACCCGGCTGAACTCCTCCTTTTTATAGCATGAAGTAACAAGCATCAGGCACGAGCAAGGGAGTTTTTAACAATCTCGAGGTAAACTCAGATACAAATTGCTTTTCTTTGCAGTTTTCATTAACAGAGCTTTTTAAGTTAATCTAGTGTTTGTATTTAGCCCGCTGTCTTCTTCTGGCACTTTCTGGTCACCACCAGACACTCCCCTGATACTGCCAGTTTTGTGTAGCAGAGGAGGGTATGGGAAAAATGCACAACCAGAAAGTCAGGTACCGTCATTTAAAAGACAACTCAGCTCACATCGATTGCTGGTTGTGAGTGGTGGGGTGGAGGGTTATCTAAAATCTGACCCTCAGTTAGCAGTGGACCGCTGCAGCCTTGCAGAGCTCTAGGTTGTAAAGCGGAGTAACCCACTGTTAATTGTTAATCCTTAAGCTGCTGAGAAAGCAGCTGACAGTCTGCTCTCATTCTCCTAGGCTTACAGCTTTGTATTTCTTTTTTTTTAATTATTTATTTACTGGGGGCTGAAGAGATGGCTCAGTGGTTAAGAGCATTGCCTGCTCTTCCAGAGGTCCTGAGTTCAATTCCCAGGAACCATATAGTGGCTCACAACCATCTGTAATGGGATCTGGCGCCCCCCTCTGACGTGCGGGCATACATTGAGGCAGAATATTGTATACATAATAAATAAATAAATAAATCTTTTAAAAAATTATTTATTTACTATGTATACAATATTCTGTCTGTGTGTATGTCTGCAGGTCAGAAGAGGGAACCAGACCTCATTACAGATGGTTGTGAGCCACCATGTGGTTGCTGGGAATTGAACTCAGGACCTTTGGAAGAGCAGGCAATGCTCTTAACCACTGAGCCATCTCTTCAGCCCACAGCTTTGTATTTTATCTCTACATTCTTTTTTTTAAATATTAATTTATTTATTATGTATAGAATATTCTGTCTGTGTGTATGCCTGCAGGACAGAAGAGGGCACTAGACCCCATTACAGATGGTTGTGAGCCACCATGTGGTTGCTGGGAATTGAACTCAGGACCTTTGGTAGAGCAGGCAATGCTCTTAACTTCTGAGCCATCTCTCCAGCCCATCTCTACATTCTTATTTCTGAAGTCTACATTTCTATCTTCTTATTCTTGGACTCTTCAAAGTCCTCAGATCCCCCTGGAACTGGAGTTCCAGACAGTTGTGAGCCGGCATACAGGTGGTGGGAAATGAATCCTTGTGCTCTTAACCTTTGAACCATCCCTCCAGACTCTGCTTCTCTGAGGCCTAGGAGACGAAGGAAGAGTGAAAGACTGTCTTTTCCTCAAGTCTCTGAGCATGGGAATGCTGGCTATTCATGCCAGCTCCAGTGGCAGGGAAGGCTTTCCAGCTGTGGGCAGATATTCCCTTTGTAAACTTTGTAAACCCTCAAGGCCCTGCCCCCAGACTTCCCTAACTGTCCTAAAGGCTCTAAGGCCCACTCCCCGTCCAGAGGCAGGAGAGAGTGACAAGAAAAAAAATTCCACCAATTTCTGAGTTTGCCCCAAGATCTAGCCACAGCATCCCTCCAATCCCAGGCTCCCCTGAACAGTTTTTAACCTCCCCCAACCCCACAAGAATATATATATATATCCAGCCTTCTGCTCAATTTTCTGCTGCTTCTCACCCAAGCAGAGGCAGCAACTCTCCTGGGTTTTTCCCTCCCAGTAAATCTCTTGTGTGAGGTTTGTAGTATGCTATGACATTGTGGTTTTCCTTGGCTCCCAACTGTCCGGATCTTCTCTTTCCATTTGAACTGTAGCATTTACAGGCAAGGCCAAGGCTCATATTTTATCTATCTATCTATCTATCTATCTATCTATCTATCTATCTATCTATCATCAATCTATCTATCATCAATCTATCTATCTATCTTCAATCTATCTATCTATCTATCTATCATCAATCTATCTATCTATCTATCTTCTATCTATCTATCTATCTATCTATCTATCTATCTAGGGTCTCACTATGTAACCCTTGATTAATTAATTGAGGTAGGGTGTTACTATATAGCCCTGGCTGTTCCAGAACTCTCTATGTAGACGAGGCTGTCTTCAATCTTGCAGAGATCGGCTGCCTCTGCCATTACTCTGGACTTCGGAGCTCTTTTAAAGGGCTCTCTTGACTGGCTGTGATGGTCCACACCTTAACCCCAGCACTGAGGAGGCCGAGGAGCGCAGATCTCTGTGAGTCAAGGCCAGACTGTCTGTGCGGGTTTCAGGCAAGCCAGAGCTACTTATGGACCCTGTCTTACAAACAGCTCCCCTTGGGCTGGAGAGATGGCTCAGAGGTTAAGAACACTGACTGTTCTTCCAGAGGTCCCGAGTCCAATTTCCAGCAACCACTTAATGGCTCATAACCATCTGTAATGAGGTCTGGTGTCCTCTTCTGGCATAGAGGTGTACATGCAGGAGGAACATTGTATACATAATAAATAAATCTTTAAAAAAAAGAAAGAAAGGGCTGGAGAGATGGCTCAGCGGTTAAGAGCATTGCCTGCTCTTCCAAAGGTTCTGAGTTCAATCCCCAGCAACCACATGGTGGCTCACAACCATCTGAAATGAGGTCTGGTGCCCTCTTCTGGCCTGCAGGCATACACACAGGAAGAATATTGTATACATAATAAATAAATAAATATTTAAAAAAAAAAAGAAAGAAACAGCTCCCCACAAATGAACCAACAGCTCACTTGAGTAGGTCAGACCCATCAGCTGGCGTCACTACAGTTTGAACTGAAACTGAGCAGAAGCCTTCAAGACATCACACCTTTGTCTGTTACACCAGGAGTGCACTGTGCGGGGGACACTACACCACTTTTGCACACCTACCAGAGCCCTCTGCCTGTTACACCAGGAGTGCCCTGTGTGGGGGACCTACACCACTTTTGCTGTGTTTTTCTTTTGATTAGAAGAAGTTACGGGTCCCACTCGCACGTTGCAAGAGATTATTACCAGGTGTGGGCACCAGGGGTGGGCACCAGGGGTGGGGACTGCAGTAACCGTTAGCACTCTACCCCCAGGGAGGGGCCACTTCAAGACTGGACAAAACAGTCTATAAAGAGCTATTCTGAATCCCTTTTCATTATTTCACTCACTTCCTTATGAGAGCCACATTGCTTTTTTTTTTCCCTCTGAATATTTTATTGCTGCTTGTGACATTTAAAACTTAGAAAAAGCTGTTACTGCTACATTCCCAGTATTGAGCTGGTGAGGCTCAGGTTTCACCTTGTCTGGTGATCATCCTTGTCCAGACACTAACTCTAGCAAGAAATCCGTACAAATGGGATGGGAGAGCTGACTGGCCTACTGTGTGCTTCTGTGTAGGAATCCATATGCATGAGTTGAACTAGAGAAAACGCCATGAGAGGCTGCAGTGAGGTTGCTGGCCTGGTGACTCAATTTCCTCCTTCTGCCATGCGGGTGCTGGGCACTGAACTAGGTTACCAGACTGGGTAGCAAGCCCCCTTATCCACTGGGCCATCTTGCTAGCCCAACCTCTTTGGGTTTGAAACCCAGCCACCTCCATTCCCTCTCAAGTATCTTTACTAACATTTTTTTTTTTCTTTCTTGACAAGGTCTCAAAGAGAAAAGAGAGGACGTCACTCTGTAGCTTAAGCCGGCCCGGAATGCAGCCTCCTTCGGCCTGTCTCCCACGTGCTGGTGTTAGTTACACGCCGTATGTCTAAATACACGGCTCAGTTCTGTCACAAGTAGACAGGAATAATACCGGTGTCTGCCTTTAAGATTATTGTGATAAAGGAGAACAATATGCAAAACTATGCTCAGTGCCTAGGATAAAGAAAATGCTTCATACACGTTAGATGCCTTTTTGCTTTTTTGGTCCTCATTCGAGGCCTCAAATCCAGGGCCTCACACATGCCAAGAATTTGCTCTACACTGAGCTATGCCCCAACCCCTCTTAATTATGTCGTTTTGGATTCATACCATTGAGCCGCCAGATGGCATCAAATTGGAAATGAATTTCTGAAAGGCTTGTCTGTGACTCCCCCTATCACTGTCAAGTCTCACCATGGTCGTGACAGAGCAGAGAAAAAAGTTTACACTTTGGTTACATTGTTTGAGAAGCAAACATAAAGAAGACATCAGTATCCAGCTAGGGTTGTTTAAAGACTCTGGGTTGTTTCCTGTATTGGGGATGGAACCCGGGGCCTTCGTAAGCAAGCACGCTACCATGAAACTGCACCCTGGAACCCAATAAGGCTATTGAAACACAGCTTAGATTTTTATAATTTATTTGTATTTTATGTGCATTGGTGTTTTGCCTGTATGTATGTCTGTGTGAGGGTGTCGGATCCCCTGGAACTGGAGTTAGACAGTTGTAAGCTGCCATGTGGGTGCTGGGAATTGAACCGGGGTCCTCTAGAAAAGCAGCCAGTGCTCTTAACCGCTAAGCCATCTCTTCAACTCCCCACAAGGCTAAATAAGTGAGGCTGGCTTTAAACTCACGTGGAAGGTGCTGGCAGGAGCGTGCCACCATGCCTACTGTTTTTACTATTTCTGTGTCTATGTGCCTGTGGAGGCGAGAGGCATTGTATCCCCTGGAGTTGGAGAGTCAGGGAGCGGTGAGCTGACCGGCTGGGTACTGAATTTAGATCTTCCGGAAGAACAGTACTGGCTCTTAACCAGTTCCCCTGACAGGTTCTAGACTTCAAGGTTTTAGCAATTTAACCCTTAACTGGGCTTGAGGAACACACCTTTCATCTCTGCACTTGGGAGACAGAGGGAGGTGGATTTTTTTAAGTTCGAGGCTAGCCTGGTCTACATATGGGACTCTAGCACAGCCAGAGAGAGACTTTGTCTTAGGGAGAAAAAAAGGAAGGAAGAAAGGAAGGAAGGGAGGGAGGGAGGGAGAGAGCCTGGGTTAGGTGAAAGCTGCTTCTGGCTAGTCAGCTAAAGACCCAAAAAGTTAGGGACAAATAAACTTATTCTCCAAAAAAGTCAGACAACAAAGGCCTTTGGCTTTACAAGCCGTTTAGGCTCTACGGTGACTGCTTACTCCTGTCCCCAGGGCACCGCAGGACAGTCAGTGAACAGGCCAGACGGGGCTACAGTAAAACTTTACTTAGAAAAGCAGCGACCATTTGGTCCACAGTCCTCCGTGAGACTCAGCAGATAGCTTGGCTGCTAGAGGGGATGTAGTCCAGCTTGATCTTTTGTGTGACAGGAACTTCCCAGAGACTGATGCTGTCCTGAGTTGGTATGTAGTGTCGGAACAACTTCCGGTCAGGTGGTTCGCTCAGAATCTGGGGTGGGTGGGGGCTGCTCTAGGAAAGGCTCAGCCGTCTGCCCTAGGATGCACACGGGGCTCTGTGGCAAGCACTGCCCCTACTCTGATTTCTTAGGAGCCTCTGTGCTCAGTTCCTGACCACCTGCCCTTCTCTGGTGATGGCCCAGTTGTAGTTCTTCGGGGAGTCCAGCGCTTCTTCTATCCGTGCCTCCAGGTTCTCGCGGGTGATGAAGTTTTTGGCCTCTTCCTATGGGAAGGAAAAAGTTAGCTACAAGGGAGCTCCACCAGAGCCGGCGCTCTGCAGAGTTTACCGTCTCTAGCCCAGGAAGGCGGAGGTTCCAAGTGCCCTTAAAGAAGGGTATCTCGGAGTGCCGGGCCTTGCTGCCCGTCATTCTCTCAGCAGACTAGTACTAGGTGACCTCAACCACCTTTGCCTGCTTCTTGGCCAATCGCCCATCAGATCTCTCAGCCAGAACCCAAGAACCAACCGTGACAACCTGCTGAGAGGGGGCGGACTCTCCAGCTCGTCAGGAGCTCTTACACTGAAGAAAGCTTCGCTGTCTCAGTTATGGGTGTCCCTGATGTGACTATCTCCTGCGAGGGCAAACACTCCCTTCTTGTGCGGAGCGAGAAGACTCCCCGGAGTCCCCAATGCCTACGCTCCCCATGACCTTGACCCACCTGCAGCTGGAGGACTTCTTGCTCTTTCAGTTGCACCCAAGCCTGTTTTTCCCGGGCCCTCTGGGCCTGGTCCTCGGCCCGTCGCAGCTCCTGGTCCCGTGCTTCCAGCTGCAACCTAGCTATCCTGAAAGGGGCGAGAGGCCGAGGGTGAGGGGGCCCGCGGCTGAGCCTGGCCCCGAGCCAGCCCACCCAGCCCACCCAGCTCTTCACCCCCGCCAGCACCTTAGCTGCTGCAGCCGCCTGTTCTCCTCCTGGTTCCAGGCCATGAGCGCCCGGTGCTCCTCGGCGGCCTCCCGCACCCTGCGCTCAGCCAGGACCCCGGACCGGGCCTCATACGCCTTCCTGCGCACTTCCGACGCGAACTCTTGCCTGGGTGGGGACGGGCTTCAAGTCGGCACCCATCCTCCCTCCCCAACACTCCCGGGGGCTGCCGATGGCCGCTTGCCCTTTCCACACACCTGAGCGCGCCCACGGTCTGCCGGTACTGCCGATAGCGCTCGGTCAACACGAAGAATTCCGCGGGGTCCACTGCGGGCGGCATCTTCACGCGCCCGACCTTGGACTTGGCAGGCGGGTCGTGGCGGGTTTTGCGGCCGCGCGCGGGCAGGACCAGCACAGTCGAGGGCTGGCACCCGGGCCGCGGGGCCAGGCGCTTCAGGGCGCGCAACATGACAGCGGCGGCCGGCGGCAAGCCCGGCCCGGAAGTGGCCGCGGAGCACCACGGGAGTCGCGGTCCCATCGGGGCTGGGCTTTTGTTGCCTGGCCTATCGCCTCCCCGGAGTCTCGGGACGAGTGGGAGGGGCGGAGAACCTTGATGGACACCACTCGACGGCAGCGTCACCCGCACGCCACCGGACGCCCCGTCTACCGGTTCCCAAGCTTAGACACCGCCCCCAAGCTTTGGCTGTGCGACTGGCGAGCGGGCTGCTTACCCTGTCATGCCGGACGCACGAAATTCTGAGCTTATAGCCACTTAAGTTAGGCTCACACAACCTTTTAGTAAACTACAAACCATTCCCTTGCACTGCACTGCCCTGCCCTGCCCTGTTGTGGTCTTGGGCAGCTCTGCAGTTGCCACAGTTCTTAGGATCAGTGACTGTTATGACCTTACGATGGTGACCCTTGTTCTTCACAACCTGACTCAGGGCCTGCCCACCTTGAGAAATACTGGCTTGACTGTCAAGCAACCTGAGGGACTCGGCTGCGACTCTTATTTATGAAGCTTTTTAGTACTCTTTCCTCTTCACCTGAATAAACAGTTGTTCAGTATTGCAGGAGACTACCCCCCCCCCCCCTTCGCTACCGCCCCCGTACATCAGGGGCTTCCTCCCGTACCGGGTAGGCACAAACCACACGCAAACACACCTGTTTTCGCAGAGATCCTTTATTAGGCCGGGAAGAAAAGTGAAAGTGCCCGAGTCAGAAAACAGCAACAAACGACCTTGCAGAGAAAGCGGAGGTCTGTGTTAGAATTGGTGGTGTATTTTGATTGGGAATGTTAATTATGTGAACCAAAGGCTGGACTCTGGTACTCATCCTTGGGAATGAATCTGGCATAAGAAAGTGTCCTAGTAAGGGAATAGACCTTGATGGTTTAGCTTTAGGGATGTAATCTAACGGGGAGGGGGAAGGACAAAGCCAGCCAAAACCACATGCTCCAGTGGGCTAGAGTCCCTTCAAGTACTGTCAACACCAAATTCTGCAGAGAAGAGCAGGCCATGGTCCTGTCCATCCACAGTACTTGGGAGGCGATGAGTGGCCTGGGCTGGCTTCAGTAGCTGACATTTTCTCACCACAAAGGCTGCCTACATCCTACTCTCAACTTCCAGGCCCAGTTCTGGTGGAGGAGTCCCAGATAGCACTGTCTTCCTCTCAGGCTTAGGGGACCCACTGCCCATTTGATGCCAGAAGGTATTCTGGAGTCCTGCGGTGAGCTGGAGTCTTGCTTTCCTTGAGGGTGCCAGCCATGAGATCACTGCTGTGCCCTTGAGGGTCCTACCACCACTCTAGCCTGGAACTGGCCCCTGCAGGGCTGCTCTGAAGGCCAGGAGCCCCGCATTTCCACACATAGCCCATCCCTCCCCGTCTTTGAGAGAAGCCTCACTACATACTCTGGTGGCTTGGAGCTCACAATGTAGATCAGGTTCACAGAGGTCCACCTGCCACTGCCTCCCAAGTGCAGGGATCAAAGGTGTGTGTGTACCACATCTTTTTCAGGGTCACCCTAGCCAACCGGCACCTCAGACAATTTGAGTCTGGGCCAAGAAAGCATTTCTGGATGCAAAACATTTCCTAGACACCCCCTAACCTGGTTAGCGCTGAAGTCCTCAGATGTCCACGCCCACCCACACTTCTCTTGGGGGGTTTCCTAAGTGTAAGTGCAGAGAACAGAGATATTAGGCCTAAAATGGATGAGCAGTGTGCAGACATTTTGATTGGCTGCAGCTAGAGGACGAGGGGGCAGGCTCTCTGCTCCCTGTCCCAGTGGCCTGTGGTGATGTGGACTGGTGTGCAGTGGTGACAGAAGTATTTCCAGCTGCTGACCCTCCCATGCACAGGCGGCAAGGACAGGAATAGATAGCATTGTTGGGGTAAATTATGGGGGAGGTGTCGCTGGGTCGTTGCAGGACGACTCTATGATTTAATGACCAGGAGCGCCATTTCCTCTGGTGTCAAATCCAGTGGCATCTTGAAAACAAACAAATAAACAAAAACCTAAACAGGGTCCTACTTGATGGCCTTATATTTGCAACTTAGCCCAAGCTGGTCTTGAACTTGTGGTAATACTCCTGAATCCGTCTCCTGAGTGCTAGGCTTGTGTGCCAACCAAGCCATGGTGCAGACATCTTGAAACAGGAGGTGCAGGCTGCTACTCAAACCCCTCTCACAACATCCACTTCCATGAACATATGTGAAGCTGCTGCTGGGTTTTAAGGTCATCAGACAAATGCTTCCCCGCCTCAGATCTTCCTAGGTGTGGCGATCTGAAAGGACCCCAAAGGGAGTGGCACTATTAGAAGGCGTGCCTTTGTTAGAGGAAGTGTGCCACTGTGGAGGCGTGCTTTGAAGGTCTCACACATGTTCAAGCCACACTCAGTGTCTCAGTCTACTTCCTTTGCCTGTGTGAGATGTAGACCTCTGGGCTCCCTCTCCAGCACGATGTCTGCCTGCACACCGCCATATCCTGCCATGATGATAATGGACTGAACCTCTGAACTGTAAGCAAGCCACCACAATTAAATGCTATCCTTTATGAGAGTTGCCATAGTCATAACGTCTCGTCACAGCAATAGATAGAAGGGATCTGAGGTTGAAACAAAAATCACAATGGCACTGGAGATGGCCCTGCAGTGAGGTTAAATATTCCCAGCATCCACATCAGACAGCTCAAATCCCTGTAACTTCATTTCCCAGGGACACAATACTCTCTTCTGGCTTCTGAGGGAAACTCACATGTATGCGTGCATATAACACATTAAAAAAATTAAAATGGTAAACCTGCAAGATGAGCAAAGGCACTTGCTGTCAAGTTTGAGGACGTGGGTTCAATCCCTGGAAGCCACATGGTGGAGGAAAGAACCAACTCCTGCAAATTATTCTCTGATCTCCATACATGTATTCTATGGCATACACACAAACACACACACACATACACTAAAAAATATTCAAAAACTCAAAATGGCTACAAGGTGGTCAAAAGGGAGGCAGAGCCCTTTCCCTGAACTTTTCAACTCTACTAACAGAGATAAGTTACCATATAGCCATGTTGGAAACAAATCCACAAGGAACTTTTTTTTGAAATCTTTTTCTTAATAGAGGCTTTCTTGAACTTCTGAGCCTCTTTGTTCCACCTCTTGTATGTGTTACCACCATGACCAGCTCATGTTGTGCAGGAAGTTAAATGCAGGACTTTGCACACACTAAGCAGGCATCCTGTCAACTGAGCGGCATCTCCAACTTAACGCTTTGGATTCTAACAACACCTCCTAAGGTCTGAGAAACACCAAGTGCCAGTTTCGTCCCTTGACCTGGACATTGCAGTAAATTTAAAGAACTTATAATCACCCTGTTTTGTGCAGATTGTGCACCAATTCTATTTACATATTTTAAAAATGTGCTCACTTTTCTCCTCAATGTCACCTGCCTTCAATGGTGGTGACAAAGTGGAGTCAATGAAGTAGGGTCTAAGTGGTAGGGCTCTAGGCAGTGCTGGAGGCTGGAATGCTCACTTCCATTCCGACCCCTCCCCCGACCCAGCTGTAGCTCATCTGCCAGAGCGTCATGGATGAATTGGTCACTCTTTCTCTTTCCACACGGCTGTGCTATGTGAGACACATTTTCCTTTGGACATACAGGAGTCCCTCGTGCGATTGAAGCCCTGGTTAAAAAAGAAAAGTGAAGGAAAGGCTGAGGGCTAAATCTACGGAAGGGGAGCAAAGAGTTGAGGTCATCCCTACTGGAAGACAGCTATTGGCAAGCAGGTGTGTTTAACATTTGCTCAGCTGCACTATCCAGAACACTCCAGCATGCCCCACTCAAGACTAGCCTCGTCAAGACAAGAGTAGCCTTCCCTGTTGGTAGACGGGATAGCTGTTACTGACATGATATTTAGTGCTGTATTTACTGCGGGCTTGCTGACCCAACAGCCATTCTCCTCCACTGTTGGACTTGGTCACACCGAGGCTCTAAGGTACTGGAGGCCCTTTAGAGCTCCAGCCCTAGAGAGACAGAATCGCTCAAGGACTTACACTCACACTGTAGAGCTGCTCTCGGTCTATCTTAGCTCTCCAAGTATTCTGGGATTCCTCCCATACATCTTTCTCTTCCTCTTGAAAATTTTTTTTTGTCTTTTTTTAAAAAATATTTATTTATTTATTATGTATACAATATTCTGTCTACATGTATGCCTGAAGGCCGGAAGAGGGCAATAGACCTTATTACAGATGGTTGTGAGCCACCATGTGGTTGCTGGGAATTGAACTCAGGACCTTTGGTAGAACAGGCAATGCTCTTAACCTCGGAGCCATCTCTCTAGCCTCATCGTTTTGACTTTTTGAGCCAGGATTCTTCTCTGCAACAGCCCTAACTTTGGCAGTCGTGGAACTTGCGTTGTAGACCAGGCTGGCCTCGAACTCATAGAAATCTATCTGCCTCTGCCTCCCGAGTGCTGGGATTAGAGGTGTGCACTGCATCATCATGCCTGACTAAAAAAATTTTTTTTTAATTTACTCTTTTTTTTTTTTTTCCTAGACAAGGTCTCACTCTGTAGCCCTGGCTGCCCCTGAGCCCACAGATATCCACCTGCCTCTGATTCTGAGTGCTGGGTTTAAAGGCACTTTGCCACTATGACCAGTCTAAATATTTTTTTAGGCTTATTTATAAGTGTTTTGCCTACATGTATGTATGTGTATCATTTGCTTGACCAGTGCCCAAGGAAATCAGAAGAATCCCCTGGAACTAGATGGTTCTGAGCCATCATGTGAGTACTGGGAACAGATCCCACGTCTTCTGCAAGAGCAACAAGAGTTCTTAACCACTGAGCTGTCTCTCTACCCCACATTTCTTCTTTTATGTCAATATTATAAATATCTAGTACACAAGTAGGTTTCCTTTTCACAACCCTGTCTGGATTTGAAGGCCCCTGATGGCTTCAACAGACCTTTCATTCCTATCTTTCCTTTTATTTTTGTATCTTGACTGTCCTGGAACTCTACAGAGACCATGCTGGTCTTGAACTCAGAGATCCGTGAGCCACCACTACCCAGCTCTGACCTTTCCTTTCTACTCACCTAAATTCTCAGCACCCCTTGGGTTTAGTTAAGTTCCCCCCTCCAAGCAGCCCAAAAGCATTTACTTCTGAATGTGCCACTGTGGAACATACTAGGGCGCCTGCGGAAGCCTCTGAGGAGTGGAGGGCACGCCCACTCTCCATCTGTGCCCTCTGTGACTGCAGGAACACCTGCTGCGCTGAGAACCTGCTTGTGATGCTGGGAGGTGTGGGGAAAAATCTGCCACCCTTGCCAGTGCAAGTGAAGACTAGATTTCCAAAATATCCCCAGGCAGCTACACGCCTGGGTTGTAGTCAGTGCAAGTGTAACTTGTGCTTCTGTTTGTAAAAATGAAGCTGCTTGCTCTCTGAGCTCCTTCCTGTCCCACACAGGTAGCAGTGGCCTACCTCTCATCATGGGGATGACAATTACATCCTCAGAATATTGGCATCAGAAAATGGAGGAACTGGCAGGGCATGGTGATGCATACTTTTAATTACAGCTTGGGAGGCAGAGGTAGGTGGATCTCTGTGAGTTCAAAGCCAGCCTGGTCTACAGAGCGAGTTTCAGGTCAGTCCAGGCTACACAGTTGAGATCCTGTCTCAAAAAGCAAAACAAAGAAAGAGAAAACAAAAAGATAGATGTAGTGGCAAGGTCTTACTTCCAAAACAGCCCTGGACAGCCATAGGCCTAGGTTCTAGCAGTGTCTATAATCCCAGTCCAGTTCTCCTATCAAAAACAAAAAAATAAGGCCGGGCGGTGGTGGTGCACGCCTTTAATCCCAGCACTCGGGAGGCAGAGGCAGGCGGATCTCTGTGAGTTCGAGACCAGCCTGGTCTACAAGAGCTAGTTCCAGGACAGGCTCCAAAACCACAGAGAAACCCTGTCTCGAAAAACCAAAAAAAAAAAAAATAAAAAAAAAACCCCAAAACCAAACAAACAAAAAAGATGAAAATGGCTCTCAAAGGCTCCTATGTTCAAATACTTGGTCCTCAGTTGTGGAACTGTTTGAAAAGGATTAGCAGGGGTCACTGGGGCTGGGCTTTGAGGTTTCAAAAACCCATGACATTCCTAGTATATTTCTCTCTGCCTCGTGCTGGTAGATGTGGGCGCTCAGATACTGCTTCCACTATTCCCGCCTGCCTACTGCGTGCTCCACCACGACAATCGGTCATAGACTCTGCCCTGGAACTGTGAGGCCCACATTGTTGCCTTGGTCATGGTGCCACAGCAAGGAGGGTGACTAATCTGCCCTGCTCAACAGCAAGCTGAGAGGAGACCCAACTCCTGAACAGTAGTGTTGTTGTGGCATGTGTGCCCACACCTACACACAGAAGTAACTACATCTCCAGAAAACAACTGAAGACATATTCTGGAGAGAAACTCTAGAGAGGCCACAGTGGCCTCTGCTCAAGTTCGCACCAACTCCTCTGCTCCTGGTGTTTCCCTTAGAGAAACCCAGTGAGAAACTAATCCATCCTGGGGAGCAAAGCTGGTTGGTGGCTGGGATGACTGCACTTGACAGAACAGCGGGCCAGGGGACTGAAAGACAGGGCTGCTCTAGCCCAGGAGAGCCCCAGTCTAATAAGGCTGCCCTGCCCAAGACAAAGGGACCAGCATCTCCTCAGGGAATCAAAAGTTTTTATTACCTGATGATCCCTAGTGTGGTGCCAGAGATACCGCTCTGGTCTCACTATGCCCCATGCTGGGATATGGTGGGAGACAAGGGTAGACTGGAGGGGACGGATATTTACAGTACAGGGAGGGAGAGGTCTGCGTGGGGACAGTGAGACGACCATTTCCTCAAGAGCTCTGAGAACTTTGTGCTTTGTTTTAGTTGGCACCGAGCTACCTGGAATGAGTTTTATGTTTGTCTTCTTTAGGAAAAGATGTTTAAAGCAAAAGAATAATCCAGCCCAATTTCCAGGCTGAGGATTTCATGATATCAATCCAAATATCACACTATTTAATTCCCCAATAAAACACTGGAAAAAAGACTATCAGTGCTAACACATTTACATACAAAATCTCCACCTAATAGGTAATAGAAGCCTATGTGCCATTTCTAAAACAGTTATAAGATATATACAATTTGGGTATATTAACAAAACAGAATATTACAAAATATTAAAGGCAATTCTCCTGTCTGTGGGCCGTGTCACCTGTTACTTGAAGTTGGCATAGTCTGAGAAGGCATCGATGTACTCTTGCACCACCTTGTAGCAGAATTCATACTGTTCCTGAAGAACAAGCAGAGACAGGGAGGAAAACTCATCACCAAAGGGACTGCTGAAGCCCAGTCCCTAATGGACCCCTGCCTGCTTTTTAATTTGGAAATCTCACTATGTATCCTTGGCTGGCTTGGAACTCCTTGTATACACCAGGCTGGCCCAGAACTCGCAGAGATCTACTTGCTTCCGCTCCTGAGTGCTGGGAATAAAGGTGTGCACCACCACCATGGCCTAACAGACCCAGTTTTTGAAATGGAAAACTGAGAGAAAAATGTTTGTGGACCACAGTGGATTTACAGACAGCTGAGCAGATGTGTGAGGACAGTTCTAGGTCCTTCAGTCAGATGGAAGCATGTGAGGCCGAACATGCAGCATCTCAGGTGGCCCTCAGCTGGCTCAGGCTGTCAGGCTGAGATGAATCCTAACTCTGAAAGCTTCCTCTCCTCTCAGATCTCCTAAAACTCCTGTTTCCCTTCAAACCTTTCTAGCCCCACAAGATTCGGAAAAACCTTTGTGGATATACAGACTGTCAAGAGTCAGACCTCTGAACAGGAGGGGCTAGTGAACAGGCAGGCACTCCTGCCCACTCCTTCCCACCAGAACCCAAAGCAGAGTACAAAGCCTGGGGGTTACTCAGGCATTCCTTTGTGCATGTGCACGTGGGTATTCAGGAGTGGTTGTGCACCCATAGGCCTGAACATCAAGTAGGGCATTTTCCTCAATGGCTCTCACCTATCCCCTTGAGAAAGGTCTGAACTAGAAGATGACTGTTTCAGCTTGGCTGGCTGGCCAGTGAGCTTTTGGAATCCGCCTGTGTCTGGTCTCAGTGCTGGGGTTACAGATACAGAGAGCCATGCCCAGCCTTTTAGGTGGGTGTTAGGGATTTGAACTCAGGTTTGCATGCTTGGAGAACAAGGGCTGTTGCCCACTGATCCTCTATTCTTCTGGGTAACAGGCTGTGCTCCCACTCTGACCCTGCTTCCCAAGGCACTTCCTGTCTTCTGACTATGGGGCTTGCTCTGGAGGCTCGCTCCTGACAGGGAAGAGCTGTGGTTAGTGTAGTCACAGAAAGACGTTCAGCGTACCAGTGTCTGGACCATGTGTGGCCTCTGTAGCCGCAGGCTCTTGACAGTTTGGAAGACATCCAAAATTCCTTCAGCTTTCACACGCTCCAGGACTGTGCTCAAGGCACAAAAGGTCCCTGTCCGTCCTGCCCCGGCGCTGAAACAGAGCAGACACACTTACCACACCTGCTGTCTGTAGCTGTCTATCCTGAGGGTAAGGGTAGTGAGGAGCAGATGCAGGCTGAGGCTGGTTCTGGGAAGATGAGTCATCCATGGAGCTGCCAGGGGAAGGTGTCAGTGGAACAGGAGACCCAAGTTCACCTCTGCCCTCTCAGCCTGGAGTTTTATGGGAGCAAAGCTCTGGGGAGGTGACTGATGGATCCTGCTGCCATTCCTGTGTGCACTAAGGGTGTGCTTGTGGGGCTGTGGTGACAACTTTCACTATCCTGCCAGCCTGACCGCTTGCTGTCTACCTTCACTGACTAGGCTGTCTTCACCCACTGCCGAGTCAGATTTTCTGCACTTGTATTTGTCGATTCCTTCCCATTCTTTCTAAGGGATTCAAACTTCCATCTTGACATAATCCACTTTGTCCAACATTACCGGCTGATTCTCTTACCAGACAGCTCTATGACATGGGCTGTGAACTCAGCAGTCCTAGACAATAAGATATGCAATAAACAAAAAGAAGGGGAAACAGAGCTCCAGGCAGGATGCTAAAGGAAGGCTCTCTGAAAGCAACACCACAGTGACAGTGACACACTCTGGCTAGCTGAGAACAAGCCTTGGAGGAAGAGGGTGCTGAAACGATGTACCTCTATCTGGTGCAGAAGGGGAGGGAGAACGGCAGGGATGGATTAGAGCCCAGGAGAATGCTGGGTACGCCAGCTCACATCATACTGGGCCCCTGTTGGGAGTTTAGGCAGGAGTAGTCTCATCGTACTGATTCTTTTTGTAAAATCCTGTATTTATTTGTGTATGAGGTAAATGTGAGTGAACGGGCTGCAGGGTATGAGGGCACACATAACACAGAGGTTAGAAGACAACTCTCAGAAGCTGGGTTTTGCCTTTCACCTTGTTGGGGCTGATTCTGTCTTGTTTCTACCACTGACAGTCAACACCAGGCTGCCTGGCCCGAGAGCTCAGTATCCTATCTCACTGCTGGAGATGCAGGGATGCCGCAGCTGGCTTTACGTGGGTTCTCAGGCCTGCACGGCAAGTGCTTTCACCAGCAGACCATCTGGAGAGCTTGAGCAGTGACCGAGATTTGGCAATGGACATCATGAGCAAAGGAGCGCAGATGTTACCGAAAAGCACTGTCTGCTGACCTGGAGTCACTTGCTGCCCAAAATAACCCTTCTTATCATTGTTCTCTTGTTGGTTATGTCAAGGTTACTACTGATTTGGACTCAAACCTGGGAGGCATCCTTGACCTTGCCTCTGTTCTCAGTTTCACTGATATTTTTTCCCCTAAAGATTTATTTATTATTTATGTATAGAGTGTTCTGCTTGCATGTATGCCTGCAGGCCAGTAGAGGGCACCAGATCTCATTACAGATGGCTGTGCCTCATCATGTGGTTGCTGGGAATTGAACTCAGGACCTTTGAAAGAGCAGCCAGTGTTCTTAACCTCTGAACCATCTCTCCAGTGTTGGCCTCTCTTGCTGCTCCCCTGAATGCATCACTGCCCCATGCTTTTCTCAAGATCTGAATATCAGCACTTCCTCAGCACATGCTGCACACAATTCAGACTCCAAAGTCCACGCTGATTACCCAGTCGTCTGGATCATCAAATGCCACAGTGCTCACCAACACTGTCTCTCTGTCTTTCCTCATGGTCTGACCAAACTCACTGTCAGACCCCACCACCCACCTCTCCAGGTTTCTGAGGGTAGGGGTCAGTAGTACCTGCAGTGCACGGTGATGGGATGGTTCCCGGACTGCTGCTGCTGCTTCTGCACGGCTGCGATGATGTTGATCATGCCCTTCCCGTCACTGGGGATGCCCACCTCAGGCCAGCCATGGAAGTGGAACTGTCGGATCTGTCGACTCTTGTTCTCCTTTGGAAGGGAGGTCAGGGAAACAGTGGGAGCCTTGCTTTTCCACAGGAGCAGCTCCACCCAGTACACATCCCATCTTACCCTGGTGTTGGTGACTAGGAGGTCTCGGACAGTGTAGCTCTCACATTCCTCCTCCTTCTTCAGCTCAACTGTGATGTCTCCATAGGATACCAGGCCATCAGATGGCCAGTACTGGGCACACTTCTCCTGCAGGAACAAATGGACAGGTATGTGAGGGCAGGGGTCAGAATATTATGTGTGGTAGAGCAGCAGGATTACCCACAGTAGCTTGGCTCCTCACAGCAAGGGACCTTTTCTTCTGTCATTTATTTTTAGATTTACTTATGTATGATTGTTTGGTTTGCATGTATGCATGTATGTACACAACCTGTGTGCCTGGGTCTTACTGTGTAGCTCTGGCTGGCCTGGAACTCATTAAGCACATCAGGTTGGCCTTGAAACTCACAGAAATCTATCCTTCTGTCTTCCAAGTGAATAAAGGTGTGTACTACCATGCTGGGCCCTCAGCGTCCTCTTAGCCCTTTAGTGTGTAATAGTTAGAGGAACACCTGAAGGTTGTTAGCTTGAGCGTTTTTTTTTATATATTTATTTATTCATTATGTATACAATAGTCTGTTTGTGTGTATGTCTGCAGGCCAGAAGAGGGCACCAGAACTCATTACAGATGGTTGTGAGCCACCATGTGGTTGCCGGGAACTGAACTCAGGACCTTTGGAAGAGCAGGCAATGCTCTTAACCACTGAGCCATCTCTCCAGCTCCTAGCTTGAGCATTTCTATCTTTGTTAGCAGGCAGAACAAGCCAGTACCATCAGACATTCTAAGAGAATTAGATATCAAGGGCTAGGTATGGTAGCTCAGGCATTCAGGAGGCAGAGGCAAAGAGGACTGTGAATTCAAGGCTTGGGGTACACAGTAAGATCTGTCTGAAAAAACCCAAACAACCAACCATCCAACCAATAAATAGGTACTTAAGACTATACCTAGCAGCTTTTAGGTCATATAATCAGTTACTTACAGGGGTAGAGGGCAGAAGATAGAGGCCCTGTCAAGGTAAGGTAAGGAGGGGGATGGAAACAGCAAAAATGAAGCCTCTTCCAGCTGGCTAATGGGAGTAATGGGTTAAAGTGGTTTCATTTGGTTCTGACTGACCTGGGGGGCAGACTCATGCTATACGATCAGCTTCAAGATGACAAAAGCTATTACAGGGAAGTGGGTAAGGTGCGCTCATTGAAATAAATCTGGCAGCTTGATAGGAGTAGGATTTAATGGATGTTAAGAAGAGGCATTATTATAGGGTGAGACTCACTTAGGCATTCCTCACTTGGTGAAAGTAAAAGGATTCTTCATTCATTTAGCTCTCTATGTGGGCTCAACAACAACAATAAAAAAACAGAGATCAGCATGAAAGAAACAAAGTTAAATGCTCCTAGAGAAAGAGGGTCTATTAGAGGCGGCCTCTTGGTTGTGGGAGGGTGATGGTGACAGTTGTTACAGCAGCTGCATTTTAGTGGCTGCTGGGAGTTGACAGAAGGCAAAGGGGAGCTTCAGATCAGGGATCTACTGGGGTGACTCTGCTCTGATTCAAGGGGCAAGGACCTTTCTTAGGGGGTAAAACATGAGCCTAAGGAATCTAGGGAGCTGGGTAGTGGTTGTGCATGCCTTTAATCCCAGCATTTGGGAGGCAGAGGTAGGAGGATCTCAGTGAGTTCAAGGCCAGCCTGGTCTACAAAGCAAGTTCCAGGACAGGCTCCAAAGCTACACAGAGAAATCCTGTCTCGAAAAAACCCAACAAAGCAGAACAACAAGAATCTAGGAGGAGGCCCAGGCTAAAAATACCTAGGGATCTTGCTGGGATGGAGATATGAAAACAAAGCTGGTGACTAGGCCAACAGAACAACAACGCGATGAAGATGCGGAGAGCAGAAGAGTGAAGTAGGACTGGGACAGGCCAGGAATGGCGCACATTCCCAGAATTCCAGCATTAGGGGTGGTGAGGCAAAAGAATCCTGCTTTTTCTTCTCACCCACCCCGTCCCCAGAGTGTGTTTGAAGCCCTGGGTTTATTCCCTAACAGAAAAAAGCTAGTCATGGTGGCGTACACTTGTGACCCCAGAACCCCAGAGGCAGGGCAGGAAAGTCAAAAATTCAAGGTTACCCTTGGCTTTACTGTGGCCATGAGGCTTGCTGTGAGGCAATGCTCTTGCACTCTGTAAAGATTTGTCACTTTACTGGTTTAATAAAATGCTGATTGGTCAGTAGCCAGGGAGGAAGTATAGGCGGGATGCCTAGATTAGGAGAATTCTGGGAAGAAGAAAGGCAGAGACATAGTCACCTGCCAGACACAGAGAAAACAATATGAGAATGCCTTACTGAGAAAAGGTACCAAACCACGTGGCTAAACATAGATAAGAATTATGGGTTAATTTGAGTTGTAAGAACTATTTAGTAAAAAACCTGAGCAATAGGCCAAACCGTCTAATAAATATAAACCTCCATGTGTTTATTTGGGACTGAATGGCTACAGGACTGGGCAGAGCAGAAACTTCTGTCTATAGAGCTCATCCTGAGACACATGAGATTTGGCCTATAAACAAACAAGTGAGGTGAGGGAGGGGAGAACCCAAGTTTGGGAACTATTTGTCACCACTCCACACTCCTAAATTGTACACACATGGGTATTTTTAGAAAGATCTCTACAAACTCAAGCAGGACTTTAAGATAAGGAGTGACATGAGTACATTTATAATTTTCAAAAAGGCAATGCTTGGCTGCCAAATGAAGAACTAAGGTTTGGGCAGGACACAGACAGAGTGATGTCAGGCTACCTGAGGTGAGGCCCTATGCTGGCAGGATGCACAGGAGGCATCACTAATGTCCCACATGTCTGTACCTCACCATGTCAGGAAAGTGGGCATGCTCAGCAGCTATCAGGACTCACCAACAGACTCAACGTGGAAGGGTGGGAGGACGGTAGCTCTAGACTTGTGACAAGAGCAAATAGGGGAATAGTGCACTTATTTAAGATGGTATGGTAGTTTGGTCTCATATATGCTCAATCCATGCCCAGTGTCTCAGACCACTTCCTGTTGCCTGCTCAAGATGTAGAACTCTCAGCTTCCTCTCCAGAATCTGCCTACATGCCACCATGATAATGGACTAAACATCTGAAAATGTAAGCCACCCCAACTAAATGTTTTTCTCCTTTATACGAGCTGTCATGGTCACAGCATCTCTTTACAGGATGGGTTCAGAGTTGGTGAGTGATGATTCTCTTATATCTGCCTCCCAAGTGCTGGGATTAAGGTGTGTGCTGCCTTGCCAGGGTAAAGAGTTCTGCTTATAAAAGAGTACTTATTCATATACTGTATTCCATACGGGTGCATGGGGTGCACATGGAGGCAGAGAACAACTTGTAGAAGTCAGTTCTCTCCTTTCACCATGTGGGGCTTGGGGACAGAACTCAGGTAGTTAGGCTTAGTGGCAAGCACCTTTATCCACTGAGCCATCTCACTAACCCCAGAGGGATTTTATAAGAGATATACAAATTAGAATTGTCAAAGGTACTTTCTAAAAAAAAAATATTAACTGTGTTTGTGCATATATAAGTGTGCACAGGAGGCCAGAAGAAGGGCATCATGTGTCCTTTTACTTCTTACTTATTCCTTTGAGGCAAGGTCTCTCCTTGAACCCAGGCTTTCTCAGTGAGGATGGAAACCAGAAAGCCCCAGCAATCCTGACTCTCCCCACTAGAGGCAGGGTTACACAACTGTGCAGAATTCCTGGTTTATTGCATGGGTGCTGGGATCCAAAGCTGGTCTTCTCGATTGTGCAGCAAGTAGCCATCTCTCTAACATTTGAAAGGCTCTTTACTTTGGTATGCAGTCCTAACTCTTTACTGTAGCTTAGAAGTAACTGCTACCAGGCCACACTAACTTCTCTAGGCTCACTCTAATGATTCTGATCCCTGCTAAGAGATACACGGAGAATCACCTGTTTACTACAGTGCACAACCTTGATGCAAAGAGGCTTCAAAACATAAGCACTATGGGAACTCAGCCTGAAATAAAGGATGCCCTGTAGAGGCTGTATGATCAGGAATAGAGTGGGGAGCAATTTCCTACACTGAGGTCTCTGTATAGTTGGAATGTCAGACAATACTACTTTTAACTGGCTTTATATCTTTTTCCTTTAAAAAGACACAACCTTAAGTATGTGCTATAAAACCGCTGGCCCTGCGCTGGGGTCATTCCCTATTCTTGTCCCTAGTCCTGAGGAAATCCCTTGATATATTTTTTTAGTTTTAATTGTTTTTGAGACAGGGTCTCATTATGCAGCCCGGGCTGGCTTAGAACTTGCTCAATCTCATAAAGATTCTCCTGCCTCTGCCTCCACAGTACTGGGATTAAAAGTGTGCACACCACCATATCTGGCTCAAATTATTTTTTTAAATTTGTCTTCTTTTACTTTATATTTCTTAAATTTCATGAGCCTGTGTTAAAGACATTCAGAAATGTCTACTTCAGAGCCCTGGCCTGGCTATACAACTCCTTTTCCACTGGCTTTGCACTACTTGGAGGTCGGATGGAGAGGGTGTGTGTAAAGGCTAGTCTGAGAGGCTGGATAGGGTAGAAAAGTGAAATGGTGGGAAATGTCTGGAAACAACTGGAGGTTCAGGCTTCTCTGCTTCTCCACTCCTGGGAGAAGCTGAGAACTGCTTAGATACCACCAGCCTACTGACATGCCAGGACATGGTTAAAGAAAAATCCAGGTATACCTTATAGTTGCCCCCAACCTTTTTGTTTCTCATAGCCCAGGGGTCTTCTTGAGCTCACCTGGCCTCTCTCTTCCAGTTCTGTTAGCATTACGATGGAGCAGGACTTCCATTCCCAGATCATTCGCCAGAAGTCCTCAATTGTGTGAAGAAGAGGGCCCTGGCTGGCAATGTAGGAGTCTTTCTGCCGGTAGCCCTGAATGTCAGGTTAATTACAGAGGTTGGTCAAGGAGGGGTGAGTGTAAAAGACAAGTGACAGGGACTGCCTGGAGGCACAGGGATTCCAGAACGAGCTCTCTGACCCAGGATCATACCAGGGGAAGGGAAGGAGGGGGACGGAGTTAGGAGGAAGACAGTGGAAACAGGAAAGATTAGATCAGTCTTAGATTTGTGGACACAGCTATGTTACAAGGTTCTTGTCTAGAAATACGTAGGATGTCTCCTTTACATGCTGTTCTTTGTGGCTAGACAGACCTAGTACAGGTGGGCAGGTGGGAGAGATCGACTTAAAGATGTTTTTCTCAAGCAGGTATGTGGGGAGGTACTAGAAGCCTCACAGGACAGATTCAGGGGACATACCCATCACTTACATCGATGAAGGATGCGTTCACATAGTCTGTGTTCTCTTCACCGCGTTTGACTGGAATGATTACTCTGTTAAATTCATCTGCAAGGAGGACAGTGAATGGCTTGCTTGCATCTTACCAACGTTCACTCCCTGAACAACCTCACAAGGCAGTGGGGCACAGATATCAATGTTTCTTTGGATTTTATGCTTTTTATTTCCTAAAACCACTTCGAGGAACAAGAGGCAGTGCTGTGACTCTTGGCTTCAGGTCAATCACTGCACTCAGAGCTGGAGTAGTACAGCAAACGGGGCTGGAGCAGTAAGACTCGGGTGGGGAGGGGTGCTTACATGGAATGATCTGTAAAACCCGGTTCTTCTTCATGTTGGCTGGAAGGTTTCCCGTGCGCATCTTGTCATTCTGGATTTTGATTGAAGTTAACTTCTGAATGAAGTAAGAAGTGAGACACTATTATTCCCAACAAATGAATCCGAAAAGACTCTTGCTACTCACTAGAACTATTCTGCCAGGTCCCCTGACTGCATTTCCTCTTCCCTGTACCGCTATATCTCCCTTTCTACATGTAATTCTCCCATCTTTAAGTTTTGTAAGAAGTCAAAAGTATTTGAAAAGCAATGCCTTTTAGGCTCCTGTGGAACCTCCTGAGACTCCTCTGGCCTTGAATTTTTGGGCCACTCTTCTGCCATTTAGAAAAATATTCAAATTTTATTATTCCTTCCTGTTCTGAGGTTGTTTCCTTGTGTGTATGGGTGTTCCGTGTGTGCGCATATAGAGGCCAGAGGCTGACGCTGGGCATCTTACCTTATCACTCCCTACCTTACTTTTTGTGACAGCGTTCTCATGGAACTTGGAGTGTGCTGTTGGTTGTGTGGCCAGAGACTGCCCCCTTCCTCACCTCTGTTCCCAGTAGTGGGGTCACAGGCACATGCTACCATGCCCAATTTTCACATGGGTACTGAACATCTAAACTGGGGTTGTCGTGCTTGTGCAGCATGCACTTTGCCCACAAAACCGTCTCCCCAGCCCTTAAGCTTGTTTCTGGTTCCTGCTATTGAGAGTAGCCCACACGTCAACAATTAAGCACACTGCAGTGCACTAAGGACTGCTGTAAGTGAATGGTTCTCTGCACACTCACTGTCTGCTCCTGGCCTCTGAGAACACACCATATTACCTTTTCTTTTCAGACAGGGTCTCTCTACACAGCCCTGCCTGTTTTGAAATTTACTATGTAGACCAGGCTGGCCTCCAATTCACAGTGATCCACCTGCCTCTGTCTTCTGAGTGCTGGGATTAATGGAGTGCACCACCACTCCTGGCTCCATTCCATTTTTAAAATTTTGACATAAGAGTCCTGTATTTGTCCTGCCTCAGCTTCTCAAATAGCTGTTAATAATAGGCCTGCATTCCTAGGCTCAGTTTAGGCATCAGTGCTTCTTCACCTTTTTTGTTTGTTTTTTGAGAAAGGGTCTTTTTACATAATTCTGACTGTCCTGGAGCTTGCTATATAGATAAGGCTGGCCTCCAACTCATAGAGATGCCCTTGTCTCCACTGCAAATAAAAACCATGCCAGTGGGTTGAGAGATGGCTCAGAGGTTAAGAGCACTGACTGTTCTTCCAGAGGTCCTGAGTTCAATTCCCAGCAACCACATGGTGGCTCACAACCATCTGTAATGAGATCTGGTGCCCTCTTCTGGCCTGCAGGGATGCAGGCAGATGCTGTATACACAATTAATAAATAAATTAAAAAAAAAAAAAACCATGCCAGCTTTTCAGAGTACTTCTTCTTGATGAGACTGATGAGAGTGGAACTTGCCCTGGACACCAGACTGGCCTCAAACTCACAGAGAGATCCACCTGCCTCTATTCCCCAAATGCTGGGATTAAAGGCATGGACCACCAATGCCCAGCCCAAAAGACTTTTTACCTGGCCTTTACATTGCTATACATTATAATCATCTAGAAATGCTGAGGGACTTAAAGAAATACTGTTTTCTACTCATTTTCCTTAAAGACAATTCAAGTGATTCTAACAAGCAAGACTGTACAGTTCTGATCCATTCAACTATCACTAGTGTGCACACAGAACTAACATTTTTCCTAAATTGTTTTTTCCAGCTGTGTGGTTCCTTTAGCCTGGAGGTTGCCCAGCTTCAACTCACCTTAAACTCCTCTTCTAATCCATTGTTGCTAGTTCCTGGGATCTTGTTATAAATTTTTTGCAGGTGGGTGTCCAGAGAAGTCACTTCCAGTTCTGTATCCCCATACAGATAATGCTCCAGAAGGGCCTGGTATATGAAGACGTATTGCATCTGAAATACAGACATACAGAAGTCTGAGTCACAAACAGCATGACCCTGGTAGTACCAGGTCACTCCTAGTGCCTTCTTTACTCAGTCTACTTTTCCTCTGATTTTGGCAGGGATAAAGTGATTCGTTCACACTGTCCTAACACAGTGAAGCAGAACTCGAAATGCATGAGTTCCCCTAGGGGTGCTCAGCTTGGGAGACAGGGTCCTGGACTGCCAGATTCCAGAGTCTGTTAGACACTGGCCACACGTGAAGGCTGTGAAAGTCTGCAAGGCCTTTGACTCCAGCCTGCCTCCACCCCACATCTGTGCCATGACCACAGATCCATCTCACTTTTGCTCTTGGACTTGGCTGCATCATGACTGAAGTCCCTGGCATGCTTGCATTCATTAAAATCTATCCCCTTATCCATAAGGGTTTCTCCCTGCCATAAAGCTACAACCTCCTCTTCTATGCATTATTTCTTTATCTTTCATTTCTTTTTTTCTTTTCTTTTTTTTTTTGTTTGTTTTTTGTTTTTCAAGATAGGGTTTCTCTGTGTAACAGCCCTAGTTGTCTTGGAACTCACTTCCAGGATGGCTTCAAACTCAGAGATGTGCCTCCCAAGTGCTGGAATTAAAGGTGTGTGCCACCACCATGCCCGGGATTTTATTTTTTTTAACATTTTTATTGATTTTATGTGTGTGAGTGTTTTGTCTCATGTATGTATAACTACCATGTGTTTATACATACACCACCAAAAGAGGGTGTTGGATCTCCGGAATTGGATTATAGATGGCTGTTTAGCTACCAAGTGGATGCTGGAGACTAAACCTGGGCCCTCTGGAAGAGCAACTAGTGAATCACCTCTCCAGCTCCCATGCTTGGTTTCTTTAAACATGTGACAGAAGGAAGGAACTAACTTGCACTTTGTCCTCTGACCAACACATGTATTCCATATTACAAGCACGTGTACATGCACATGTATACACACTACGTAATGTTTATGTGAACTGGAGTCCTCAGAGTAGGCAGATGTCCTGGCATTAGAAAGCCCTTCCCTTGCCCTGCCCACGGATCACTCACGTCTGTCTGTACCATCTGGCAGCGCTGGGCCCGGATCCGGCTCACAAAACCATAGACATCCACTTTCCGCTCTGAATGCATCATGTCCAGCATGGCATCGATGACAACAAATGTACCAGTGCGCCCTACACCTGCACTGTAGCCAGAGCAAGGGGTTAGTGGATGAGGCCAGGAGTAACTTGTGGGGGCAGACAGGGAAGGGTGGCACAGCCTCAGGCTTTCTACAGGCAGCTAAATTCTAATTCCCAATGGGGTAGAACTGGCCCTGCCCTCGAGCCAATAATCCTACTGTGCTAGAACTCCTGGTCTCTGCTATCAGGGCCTGGGTACCCTGATACTTATAAGGGTTGCAAGGGGCAAGGGTACAGAGCCAGCACTTGACCTAGTTGCTTGGCTTCCCAGCTGAGTCTCCACTCCTAGTCTTGGAGAGATGCCTACTAGGAAGAAAGGTGCTTTAACTCCAACAAGTATGATAGCAAAGTAGATTTACCTCATGCACTGCCAGGAGTATATGCTGAAAATAATGGGGACCAGTGAACAAATTCTCCCATAACTACAAATACAGCTCCTACAGGTAAGACACAGGCTCTGGCTCAAGTCTTTCTCCACAGTTATTTTAGAACCACAGTGAGTTGCCTAACTTCTGTCTTTCCACAAATCACATTTTCTACCCCAGACTAGAATTTGAAAATTCTCTCTGACTGCGGCCTGGGGTCCCAGCTATGCATTTCTTCTGTGTCAGCCTCCTTGGTCAGGGTCCCTGTGCTGTTCCCTTGCTCTGTCCTAGGGGGCAGAAAGTGGGCAAGGGTCAGGCCACACTGACCTGCAGTGGACCACGATAGCCCCTGCATACTGAGGGTTACAGGCTTTCACCTTCTTGAGGAACTTGAGCATGCCAATTGGGGTGAAAGGCACCCCAAAGTCTGGCCAGCTGGTAAAATGGAACTGAGTGATGAGGCGCTGTGGTTTTCTGTTGGTCACGTCGCCCACCTGTGAAATGAGATTTCTGTGTGTTTGTTTTGATAACCAGAAGAGGGCAGCACAAGGGTAGGGAAGGTTAAGAGTGATTGTCATGATGACGGAAAAGTGAGGAGGACTCAGAGAGGCACTAATCACAGATGGAGAATCCTCCCACACAGCAGTCTGAACTGCTATTTTCCTGGGCTACAAATGAAGGTGAAACTGAGAGAACTTAAATAACCTGGCCTAAGCCCCAGAACCATTACAGGAAACAGCAGGGTTAGAGACACAACGCGAGGCTCCTAGTTCTTTTCTTCTTCCTTTTTGGACAGGATCTCACTCTGTAGATCAGGCTTGCCTCCTAGTCAGAGAGCATCCTGCCTCTGTCTCTGCCTCTCAATGCTGGGATGTACTCCCACAGCCAGCAGGGCTCCTGATTCTTGATAAGCCCTCTTTTCAGCACCCCAACCCCTAACTCTAGCCCAGGCCCCGGGTCACTCTGGAAGGCTTACAATAGTCACACTACACCCCTGGAGGTAGAGGTAGTTAGAGGGGTGAACACAACACTCAGACTACTCCACTTCCTGAAGCTTCTCTCTACACTGTCTGGTGACATTCAAGGTAATCAAATTTCACCTGCACAGGTCCTACCAGTCATAAAAACACTGCTCACTTAGCTGTGACAGAGAAATTCCTGCAGGTCAGGACCCACAGAGATTGTATACTGTGCAATTCCTGACACCAAGACCTTCCCACCTCTCAATAGTCAGCAGATCCTTCTCAAACGCCTGGAAAGGGGGCAGAAGACTGTACCTGCTGAATGCAGAATTTCCGTACTGTGTAGTCCACAAGCACAGTCACGTCCTCAACAGACACACGGACATTCCCATAGGTCCAGCAGCCTTGGTCTGGCCAGTATTGGGCACATTTACACTATAAAGAAAGCAGACACACATCTCTCATGCAAGACTGTCCTGGCAGATGTAAGGGAACCGAAAGGATCCATAAAGCCTGTATCTCCTCTGTCACCTACGTCAGCTAAAGGTTTAGTGCCTGTAACTCACTCTCTTCAACTGTACCCAGCCTCAGTCACAGACCTGCACATATTTTCCACTCCTACCCCCAGTTCAAGGCAAACTGGAAACTGTTTTATCTGCAAAATCTGAACTTCCACAGTCTCCCAGGTCAGGCCTTAGGGGCAAGCCTGTGTGAAAGGGGGATTGGCAGTTTGCTGTGACAGAGCTACCACACAACACCCACACGGATTATTGGTTTGTGGTAAAACCAAGGTCTTCCTGTTGACCAAGTTCTAACAGCTTCCAAGAGCTAACGGTCTGCTTAGACCATACTAACATAAAATCCACCCCAAACCACTCTTCCTCTTCCTTTTTTTTTTTAATATGTTTTTTTGAGAAAGGGTTTTTCTGTGTAGCCCTAGCTGTCCTGGAACTCACTCTGTAGACCAGGCTGGCCTCTAAATCACAGAGATCTACCTGTCATTGCCTCTGCCTCCTGAGTGCTGGGATTAAAGGCATGTGCCACCACTGCTAGCCTCAAACTACCTTTCTATGCACTTGGAGCTGCTGGGCAGTACACCCCAAATCTCACAATGGGTCAAGGTGACCGAAGGCCCATCCTTGAGAAAGACTGTCATGAATGAAGATTCGTCTCTGTGGGCTGACCTATGGTCCAGTGTGGACCTGAATAAGAATGGCCTCAACAGGCTCATGTATTTGAATGCTTAGTCATCAGGGAGCAGCATTACTTGAGGACTAGGAGGTATGGCAATGTTGGGGTAGGTGTGGTTTTGTTGGAGGAAGCATGTCACTGGGGTGGGCTTTCAAGTTTCTGAACCTGAAGTCAGGCCTCCTGCTGCCTGCAGATCCAGATGAAGAACTATCAGTTACTTCTCCACCAACACATCTGCCTGTGTGCCACCATGATGGTAATGGACCAAACCTCTGAAAGTATAAGCAAGCTCCAAATAAAATTGCAGTCAGTGCTCTTAACCACTGAGCCACGGCAGAAGACCTGGGTCCAATTCCCAGCACCCACAGTTAACTGTATATAACTCCAGTTCCAGGGGCTCTGACACCTTCAAAGACACACATGTGGGCAAAACACCAATGCACGTAAAATAAAAAAATAAATAAATATTAAAAACAAAACAAAAAATGCTTCCTTTTATAAGAGATGCTTATAAAAGGTCATGGTGTCTCTTCACAGCAATAAAACAGTGACTGAGACACCCAGGTTTGGTGCTGGCTATGGCCCAGCTATAGAGCTGATTAGGCCACAAAGGAAAAAGAAGCTGTTAGAAGCTGCCAGAGGACTTGGTGCAAGCTTCAGATTCATTGTACTCCTGCTGGCCATACCCTTATCAGAGGCTCGGCTAGTTCACTCGGCTCCCTCTATCAGCTAGAGGGTATACTGCAGAAAACTGAGGGGATGAGGGACTAGAGAAGGCAAGGGGAAATAGCTAATGGTCCACTTCTTCCTTCCTGGTTACTTTGGAACTAGAATGAGCTGTTTCAACACCAGACACCACTATCCCCTGCCCTGAGATTCCTCTGAGGTTTCCTCTGAGGCTACAGGAAGAGACACATTAGCCTGTGGATGATCTACAGTAACCACAAAAAGAAAGTAGCAAGGCTCAAGTTTAGAGCTCCAGCAGAGCAGACTCTCTACCCGATTTGACTGCTTCTCAGTTTTCATCTTACCTCCTTTCTCTCCTTCAGGTTGGTCACCATAACGATGGTAGCTGTGTTTTGTTCCCAGATCATTCTCCAGAAATCATTCACCGTTTCTTCTTTTGGTCCTAAAGGAGCCAAGAGTGAAGATTAGAAGAGGAAAAACAATGCTAGGACACCGAGAATACTCATTCCTGACTTTTGGAATTCTGTGTCTACATATCTTCAGGGGAACACCCACCCTATTTATCCATTCATCTACCTGTTAACTGAATATTTCCCATGTATCTACCATGTATGTACCAAACACTTCATTAGGACTGTGGGCAGGAGGCTTGCAAATAGGAAAGAACACAGTGATTTTCTAAGGGTTAAGGATTAAAAGTCATGCCTGCTTACTGAATAATCTAGACAATAAACCACGTACTAGCTATGACATTTACTCTGTTCTGTTATACTCTGGAGTGAGTGTCATCAATCCCAGAAAGGTGGAGCGACATGCTCAGGCTGGAACTCAAATTTACTTTCCAGATAGCCTTTCTCAGAAAACCATAAGAAGTTTCTAAACAAAAACGAAGCTGTATACAATGAGAGAAAGATGAGATTTAGCAGCAGAGAGGCTAGAAGAATTCTCAGGGTGTAGTAAAGAGAAGTCTTTGCAACCAAACCACCAGGGGTTAAGGACACTGGATCTGCTATGGAACTGAAGTTTTAAGAAACTCCTCAAATGTACTTAAAACAAACCTCAAGAAGCATCAAGAGAGCTCAGTGGGTAAAGGTGCCTGAGGCCAAACTCGTATCTGGGACCAGAGTAGAAGAAACAACAGTTGGAAGTTGTCCTCTGCCCTTCACATGTATTCCACAGCATGTGTGTGCCAATGCAGCCAGCGCTCTTAACCTGAGCCATCTCTCCAGCTTCGAAGGACTTTTTAAAAATAGGACCTTTCATTACTAAGTCATCAAGATGAATGTCACAGGTTGTAAACCTGCAAGATGCATTCTGTGTATGAGAGTATGCACGTACATGTTTTGTGTGTGTGTGTGTGTGTGTGTGTGTGTGTGTGCGCGTGCGCGTGCGCAAGTACATATTCCTGTAGAGGTGCACATGTTGCCTATTAAGGTTTCCTCAGTTGCTCTCCATCTTAGTTTTTTGAAGACACTCTCTCACTAACTCAGAGCCTGTTAACCAGATAGCCTGGCTAGCCAGTGAGCCTAGGATTCTTCAGTCTCTGCCTCTCCAGCATTGGGGTCAGGTCCATGTGCGCATGCATTTTAATGCAAGTGTTAGGAATCTAAACTCAGGTTTCCATGTTTGTGCAGCAACCACTTCACCAACTGTGCTATTCTCCCAGCCCCTTATATTTCTTTTAGGTGGTAATAATTAGCGAAAAGCTACTGTATTTTTATTATTTCATTTAGTATTTGGGCAAAATCCCACACCCTCAACCCACTATGGGATTGTGGTTGAGACCAAGAAGAAAAAAAATTGTCATTACCTTGTGCAGCAATGAATTTGTTCTTTTCTTGGTAGCCCTGGGTGGGAAAGGATGAAAAAGAAAAGTGAAACCCAAAAGTTGGCAGCAATGATATTCTCCAGTCGGCCTCTCAGCCAGTTAACAAAGCCTCCCCTGTAAAAGTCTAGGCAATTCACAAGAATTTCCATTACAGAAATCCCAGAAGGGTTAGCTTTGGAGAGAAGAATCAAAGGCTAAAAATTCAAATGGTCTAGGTAGGTCTTCTCAAGGTGAATTCTTGGAGAGTATCCAAAGACTAACCCCTGGTCTAGACCATCTCTGATGTCTGATGTGGGCTTTAGTGTTAATGGGGTAAGAGCTTCCAAGCAGAGCGTATAAGGTGGTTCCAGGGATGGAGTTGGGCTGGAACTGGGAAGGATAAAGCTTTTTTTTTTCTTGAGGATGCTTTAGTCAGATGTAAAAACTTCAAAAACAGCCATGTTTGACAATGAACTCCTCCATCAGTCAGTGGGCGACAAGAAGCAAAGGAGACTGGGAATCCCATTGAAAAGGATAAGGAGCCTCTGGGAGACTCATACTGACAGGGATTTCTTTTCTCTCTGTGCAGACGGCAGTAAAATGGGCAATGGGAAACAGGTTTGCGGGGACATCAGGTCACACCAAGGCAGTGGTGAAATCAAAGGACCTAAATCCGAGAAGTCATTTCCTATTCTAGTTCAAACAAGAGCAGCAGAGTTGCTTCCTAGCAGAGAAGAAAGCATTTAAAGTCAGCAACAGTAGGCTTCTTAAAACTTTGAGAACAGGAATTTAGTTTTCAGAAATGCTTCTATATTTTTGGTTGTGACCCTGGCTTTTAATGGCTGAGCCATCTCTCTAGCCCTCCAAAAATGTTTTTAATCTTCATTACAACATGAAAATCAAGATAGACTTAATTCAGGATGTTCAATTCTGCTTCAGTTCTGAACGTGTAATTAAAACTGATGAGCTCTTAAGAAACATGTTAAGTACATCATGCTCCTGGCTTCATAAAAAGCCACTGTTAAATTCCCAAGGAACACGGAGAGCTTAAAAAAATAAACACAGACATACACATGGATGTGGAAGCCAGCCCCAGAGTGTTTCCTACAAGCTACCTCCATGAAAGAGTGCCTAGTGATTACCTAATCAAATAAAGCATAACAGAAGGCAAAACTAGCCAGTGTTGTGCATGCCCTTAATCCCAGCACTCGGGAGGCAGAGGCGGATCTCTGTGAGTTCGAGGCCAGCCTGGTCTACAAGAGTTAGTTCCAGGACAGGCTCCAAAGCTACAGAGAAACCCTGTCTCGAAAAACCAAAAAAAAGGGCAAAACTACTAAGGAAAGGGAAGGATAGATAAAACCTGGCTCCTTAGCTCCTTCATTGTCTCTGGTTTCTGAACCCTGAACCATGAGCCCAAGCTAGTTCTATAGGTGGAATCTACACTCTTCCCAGTAGAGAGAAACACTCTGAAGACTTATGTGCCCTCAGGCCTCTAAAGACAGAGAGGAGCTAGCTGCTCTACTCTAGCCTGGAGTCTTCTGTCCGTGTGTCAATGGCTGTGATTACTAGGTGAGATAACCCTGTGTTCCCCAGAATGTAGATTTCAACTCCTGCTGTCTGTTCCACCACTCAGGGTCCTGCGACTATTTCTCTTCCCTCAGGCCTTGACTCACAGTGCCCTGGACCCATCAGCCAGACTTTCCTGGCAGCAAGTTTTCTTGTCTTGTTCTCCCATATTTTTACTACTGAGGGTAAAGCATGCTTTTGTTTGTAGCATTTGAAATGATCAAAAAAAGGGTTCATAGAAATATACAACTAGACTTAGATTTCTGTACTGGAAACCTTAGGAAATGATGAGAGAATCAACAAAAGATATATTTTAAATTACCCAATATTAAAAAAAGAATTAGAAAAAAAGAATTAGCTACTTAAAAAAATCAGATTTGTTACGGTGAAATCAACAGATGCCAGCTAATGGCTTTTCCTGGGATAAACAAGAAGAGTACAAGTTCCTTACATTAATGAATGAAGCATTGATGTAATCAGAATCTGGAACTCCTTCAACTGCTGTCAGGTGTACTCTAGAGTGGTCATCTAGAAAAAACAAGAAGTTCACATTTCAATAGATCCAGTTTTGTTTCTTACTGTCCCTGAAGCAGATCAGCCCAGATACCTGTGTCTATGTGATTGAGACATGGTATATCAGTGTTTTTTGATTTTGTCTGGTTTTTCTGAGACATGGTTTCTCTGTGTAGCACTGGCTGGCTGTCCTGGAACTTACTCTGTAGAAAGACTGGCCTCAACTCAGAGATCTGACTGCTTCCTGAGTGCTGGGATTAAAGGCATGGACCCCCACCACTTGGTTTTCTGCTTTTTGTTTGTTTTGTTATTGCTTTTACACAGTCTTACTTGGTAGCTCAGGTTAACTGTAGTCTAGACCGCCTTGAACTCAATGGCAAGCCTCCTGCTTCAGCCTCGCATGAGTTAGGTTTATAGGAATAAACAACTGCACCTAGCTTTTTGATTGTCCAAAACAGTTTTTTTTAAAGTATTTATTATGTATGCAGTGTTCTGCCTGCATATATGCCTACACTCCAGAAGAGGGCACCAGATCTCATCATAGATGGTTGCTGGGAATTGAACTCAGGATTTCTGGAAGAACAGCTAGTGCTCTTAACCTCTGAGCCATTTCTTCAGCCCTCCCAAAACACTTTTTTAAACATTTATTTGTATGCATCTGCATATGTGCTTAAGTGGTTGTGCTTGTGGAATTCATCAGACAATATAAGAGTCAAATCTCTCCTGTGATGAGGGTCCTGGAGATTGAATTTGGGTCAGTAGGCTTGGCAACAAATGCCTTTACCCTCTGAGTTTTCTTGCTGCCTCCAACACTTCCCCTTTAAAAGTGTTACTTAGTCTTAGCACTCAGTAGGCAGGGGTAGGTAGATCTGAGTTTGAGGCCAGGCTGGTCTATATAGTAAGTTTCAGAATAGCCAGGGCTACATAGGAAAACCCTGTCTCAATTTTTTTAAAATTGATTTTTATTGAGCTCAACATTTTTCTCTGTCCCCTTCCCTGCCTCTCCCCTTCCCCTTCAACCCTCCCAATTTTTTTTTTTTAAATTTACGATTACTGTAAAAGTGGGCCCCCAAAATGGCAATGCTGTTGACAATGTCTGAGATAACAATCTGGGCTGAGTAACAGTACTGCTACTTAAGCTTAGCACTCCTCAGAAACCTTGTGAGTTGGTTTCTGTTAAGAAAAGCCATTATCTGATCCCTACAACCAACTACCTTTGGCGATGGGCAACTAGTTCTGCATTAACTCAAATAAGCCTGTACTAGATCACAGTCCCCACCCTAGTTCCGAGGCTGCTGTAGCCATACCCTACTTCCCACTCCACTAACTCCCAGGCTGTCCTGACTCCCAGGCCCCCTCCAGCACTACCGGCTTTCCTTAGAACTGGTAAGGCTTCTCCTGCTCTTACTGTTTTCTCTGAACCCGAGACAGAGCGTTGGCAGTTTGAGTCACCGATAACCTTCCTTTCTACCAATGCAGTGGTTTAGTTCGTGGCTTCACTGTGCCCTGGCTTACAGCTAGAAAGAGAACTTTGTATTACAGTTTGAGTAGTGTGTGTGTGTGTGTGTGTGTGTGTGTTCACACGCGTGCGTGCATGTATCAAACAAACAAACTACATAACCTACTTTCTGCCTGGTCCCGTGAAGCTGCCCTGCCTGGTCTTCAGAAACAGGCATGCAAAACTGTGATCCATAGTTTAGTCCTTCCTGACTGTGAGGTTGCCTGGGGAATGGGGAAATAAATTCTTCTTTTTGCCCTCCTGTTACCAACCCCAAGATTCTTCCCATCCTCAAAGAATCTAGAGATGTAGTTTTAGAACACATTCCAAGAAACCCTGCAAACACTCACAAGGCAGGATGTTTACGTATCGATTTTTTTCCTTGTTTTCCTCCTTGGAGGCTGCCTCACAGGTGGCCTGGATAGGACAAGCAGGGAGAGCCTGAAAGGTTAAGAGAAATTAAAGGAGTTATTAAGAGGGATAAATATTGGGGCTGGAGAGATGGATCAGTGGTTAAGAGCACTGACTGCTCTTCAGAGGACCCGGGTTCAATTCCCAGCACCCACATGGCAGTTCACAACTGTCTGAAGATCTAGTTGCAGGGGATCTGACACCTTCACACCAATGCACATAAAATAAAGCTAAATAAACCCTAAAAAATATTTAAAAAAAAAGAGGGATAAATATCAAACAGGCATTCTGCTTTACCAAACCCTGATTTGGTAGGAAGTTCTATCTTTTTGTCGGGAGGAGGAGGGAGACACAGACCTGGGTGAACATGTGCAGCCTAACACAGAAAATTCACCTTTCTCCAACTATAGAGCTTCAAGCCTTAAGAATTCAAAACCAAGAATCCACAGGGGTAGGATGCAAGCTTTTTATATGATTATTATTTAGTTAGGGGCCTATTACAATGCATGATCCAAATGGACTACCCCTGTAAACTGGGAGTGAGGATTATAAAGGGAAGAAATGGGTCATTTATTTATTTGTTTGATTGTTTGTTTATTTATCCCACCATGCAAAGACAAGATGAGACTCAAGTGTGAACTATCTGGAGAGTCTGCTGATGCAGATTCCCTTTAGGGGTCTGTCAGAGAGACAGGGCACCTAACCACTGGCATCATCGGGGAGGGAAGCAAGAAAGGTGGGCAGCATTTTCACAGGAATGTGGCAGTGGGGAAGCCAGGGTCTGGATCAGGTGACACAGAAGGGTATCACTTTTGGACAACTGTAACAGGGAGTGATGCAGGTCAGCATAAACTGTCTTGACATGAGCAGCCTGGCTGTAGGAACTTGAGCAAATTTGTAACTTTCTCAGCTGTGTTACCTCATCTTCGGCAATGAGAGAATACTTTCCACATAAGGAGGAAATGATAGAATGCCACCTGTGGTACAAAAGCAGGCTTCAAGAAATGAATTTTAAGCTGAGCAGTGGTGGCACACACCTTTAATCCCAGCACTAGGGAGGCAGAGGTGGATCTCTGTGAGTTCAAGGCCAGCCTGGTCTACAAGAGCTAGTTCCAGGGCAGGCTCTAAAGCTACAGAAAAACCTTGTCTAGAAAAACCAAAAAAAAAAAAAAAAAAAAAAAAAAAAAACCCAACAAACCAAAAAACCAAACACCCACCTAAAGAATTTTATGAAAGTGTGATGCTAAATTTTACCTGAACTGTTCCCCTCTTGTGTGTTCCACATATTCAAAACAAAGAAAGCATAAAAGGAATTAATTTAACTTGGGTAACTGTTCTGAAGAAGGATCAGAAAATTTTTATGAGCTTTAAAAAAAGGTCTTACCTTTTGTTCCAGCAACTCTACTTCTGAGAATTTACATTAAGGAAACCAAATGCCTATGTAAACATATTTCCTTCATCATCTTTAGAATGACTCAATACTGAGAACAACACAGACTTCAGAAGCAGGGACCGGGGAAGTATATTATAGCTCACGTATGGCTTTTCATTCGTTCTTCTAAGCAAATATATGTTATGGATCTATGAGGCTAGGTGGACAGCAAGCAATACTGAGTAAAACATACATAGTTCTTGCCGTTGTGTACAATATAAACTTGTGGGTGACATCATTACAAATAAACAAATACATATATACAAATGTACACATATATGATATGTAGCATGATAAATGTAATGAAAAGCAGAATGCTATTAGAAAAAGTATCAGAGAGAGCCAAACGGAGATCAAAGGTAGACATTTATGTAGGATGAGGTGGGAAATGCTATTTCAGGAACAGACAACAGTACCTCCGAAGACCCAGAGACAGGAGATGGTCCCTGGCATAAAGACCTGAAAAGTCAATGAGTGTCATACAAAATGGGTTGGTGCAGATGGCAGGAAGAAGAGGGATAGTAAGAAGTGGGAAGGGGCTGGAGAGATGGCTCAGTGGTTAAGAGCATTGCCTGCTCTTCCAAAGGTCATGAGTTCAATTCCCGGCAACCACATGGTGGCTCACAACCATCTGTAATGAGGTCTGCTGCCCTCTTCTGGTCTGCAGACATACACACAGACAGAATATTGTATACTGTATACATAATAAATAAATATTTAAAAAAAAAAAAAGAAGTGGGAAGATCTTGGCAAGGTGAGACTATTCATTTTCATGAAGACAGGGCGTTTGGGTCTTAAGTCTGTAAATAAACTATTGAAGGTTTGAAAAATGAGACTAGTTTACATGGTGAATACCTCTGGTTGTTATTTGGAAAATAAGACTGAAGAGAAGCAGGAATCAAAGCACGGAATAGAACCAGGTAAAATGATGTGACAGTCTGAGTAAGAATGGCCTCCGCAAGCTAGGGGTGGTGCTGCACACCTTTGATCCCAGCACTCTGGAGGCAGAGGCAGGTGGATCTGCGAGTTTGAGGCCAGCCTGGTCTACAAAGCGAGTTCCAGGGCTGTCACACAGAGAAACCCCGTCTTGAAAACAAACGGCCCTCTACACTGATATATTTGAACACTTATTCCCCTCTTACAGCACTTAGTGGCACTATCTGAAAGGATTAGAAGGGGTAGCCCTGTTGGAGGAAGTGTGTCACTGGAGATGGGCTATGGGGCTTTAAAAGCTATGCCAGGCCCAGGTTCTCCTTCTCAAGCTACAGATCAGGATGTAGCTCTTCACGACTGCTCTAGTGCTTGCCTGTGTGCCACCATGCTCCCACTATTATGATCGAAGAGTCCAAGAATAAGAATACAGAAATGCAGATTCCAGAAATAAGAATGTATAAATAAGGAAAGCAAAGTTGTAAGCCTCGTAGAATGAGAGCAGGATGTCAGCAGCTTTCCCAGCAGCTTACGGATTAACTATTAACACTGGGTTACTTTCTTTACAAACCATCTGTCTATAAGACTGAAGCATCAGCTCTGCAAACTGAGAGTTAGCCCTAAGATAACACCCCAGTCACCCGTGATCAATAATGGATATGAGCTGAATTAACCTTTAGAGGGTGGGATGGATGTGACTTTTCTGTTATGCATAGTCTCTGCTACGTGAAACTGGCAGCATTAGGGGGAGTGCAGAGCTTTGGTAAACACCACCAGCGAGTGTCAGGGAAAAACAAAGACCTAAAATACAAACACTAGTCTAACTAAAACTCTGTTAATGAAAATTGCAAAGAAGGGCAATTTGTATCTGAGTTTTACCTTGACATTGTAAAAATTCTTCTGTTTTATTGCCTAATGTTTGTTGCTTTTTGCTATAAAAAGGAGGAGGTCAGAAACCGGCCTTTGCCACAGCCTTACAAGTGCATCTCTGGTCTCAGCTAGCTGATAAGCTTTTTGTGCCCCATGCAGATTTATTTTTTTTTAATTTTCAATTTTTTTCTGAATAAAGTTTGCTTCTGGTTTACTAGACTTCGGTGGTCTGTTTCCATCTTTGCACGACTAAACCTCTGAAACTGTAAGCAAATTCCCAATTAAATATTTTATTTCCTAAGAGTTGCCTTGGTTATAGTGTCTCTGCACAGCAATAGAACAGTGACTAAGACAGATGACAACATAAGGAAGTGGATGCATCTGAGATATATTCTGGAGTTAGAATACTGCATTTGGAGATGGAAGGAAGTGAAGGCAGATTGGGGGAGAAAAGAATGAAGGAGAGCTCTCAGGTTTCTGAAAATAAAATAAGGATGATTAAATGAAGGAAAAAAAATCAGCTTTGGGGCAGTTAATTTTGCCAGATGAAAGATGCTTTAGGGGGGAAGAAGGCTATTTCCTGGGACTTGCATGACAGGCAAGGACAATCAATCTCACAGTCTACTTACTCTTACTTCACACAAGAGATTCAAAATTCAAACCCTAGAGAGTCTGCACGTCATTTTACTAAGACAGGCAATTCTCTTTACTCTGTGCTGTGGGCACATGGCAGTAAGTTTCCTTTTTTTCCTGTGTGTCAACTCTTGCATATAAAACAGAGAACATATTTAATACTGGAGTTTCCCAATTCACTTATACTTCATCTTCTTTTCTTAGGCTAGGTTTCCATCTCAGCACAGGACAGGTGAAATGCCAGTTTTTTAGTCTCTAGGCTAACCTTTTCCCAAGATTCTTGTACGTTTCTTTCCTTAAACGAGAGCAGAGGGTGTGAAAGAGCAAGATTACCGCACTAGCACTAGCCAAGGTTGGCCCTGAACTTGCTGTGTAACTGAAGATGACCTTGAATTTATGATCCTCGTGCCTTCACTTCCGGAGTACTGAGATTAAAGGAATGTGCCACCATGCTCCATTTTATGTGGTTTTGGGGACTGAACCCAGGGCTCTGTATGCAAAACAAGTAGTCTCCCAACAGGCTATACCTCTAGCCCCCACAAAACACAGTCTGTACTACAGAGGGGTAGGGAATGACAGCAATTGCTACCACCCCACTCATGAGGAAGGAAAACAACTCTCCAGGTGGGCGAAGCCTTTTAAAGGGAACATCTGGAAGAAACAGCAGAACCGATAAGGCTTGTTCTGCCTATGTCAGAATAAAACAAAGGGGACCTTACACTGCTTTAGCTCTTACTCTGAGAAACGGCTTGCCTAGCTCCTAGAACGAGCAACAGACCTGGATGAGCAGATGACATTAAATTCCCCAGAAACACTAGGTAGCATCAAAGACCATTTAATTTCTTAATCAAATCTTAAATGGAACAAAGGTGAGGTACCTCAGCATTCTTTTAAAAGGTGCACCTGCCATCCACTTTAACTTCCAAGTTCACTCTGGACTCCTCCACTCTTGATCTTCTCTATCTCCTTTCACAGGTAAACTTGGAGCTTACCATTGTCTTGTCATAATTTGTACCCCATATACTGCATCCTTATTATTATTGCTCAATGTATTTTGTGATGAAAATGGAAGCATAATTAAAAAATGCTAACCTGCTTTTCTTTTGGCTCAGCGTTATGTTCTGTTCTGGATAGTTTTGTGTCAACTTGACACAAGTCATCTGAG